TAATTTTTGAAACTCTATTCAATAACAAAGTCGTTACGTTGTTTCTAGTTACCAAATCTGAACGATGATTTCTAGTAAGTTGGTATTATAATTTAGTGTTTTGTGATAAAAGAACGTATGTTGATGATTATAGCGGGCGTTTAAATTAAAGTATATCGCCAAAAATATGCATTTTATAAAAAAAAAGCATCAGACAAAAGTTTTATAGTTTTTTAGGGGAAATATTTTGGCTATATTATTTTTTTTATAGCTGACCATAATATGGCCATATCGAGGTGGATTTTTTTTTCAAATTGGAACCCTATTTTTTTACATACCTAGGTATTCTTAGAGTTCATAAAAAAACAAGAAACTTCTCAAGGAAACATTTTATCTACCTAAAAATTTTGCTGCGCGAAAAAAAGTTGGCCATATTATGGTTTGCTATAAAAAAACAATTTTAGCTAAAATGTTTTACCCAAAAAATTATTAAACTTTGATTTTTTTATAAAAGGCGGTATTTAACTGTAACCCTTTAATTTGAACACCCGGTATATTTGACGTAAAATAAAAATTCTACCACACGATCAGGGGGTCGATTCTCGATTCGTAGGAATTCTGTTTCTCGCGGGCCTTTTTTGCTGGTCATATTGTATGTAGGGTTTATTTAAATGAATATGGATATATTAAAAAAAACAAAAAACAACTCGAGAACAGTACAAGTTGTATTTATTGGATTTGAAAAACAAACCAAATTTGTGTAGGTTACGGAGAAGTATTATAGGTACTTCCATAATATAGGTTTTGTTATAGTTTCGCAGTGCTACTTTAAGAACATCACTGTTAATAAGAATCCAATAGTAAATGATTGAATGGGCAATCCTAACTTTGAATCAGATTTATTTTTAAAATAATTAAATAAATTAGAAAAAAATTCCTTACAAATTTTACTTGCTGTATTAGGTATATGGCAATTTAGTTGTAAAAGTAAAAAATCTGATGTGTCCAACACATGACTTTCCTATCTAGTTATTATAGGCTTTTTCCGGTTATTTTGTACAACCTATTGCAGCATCTCTATAAATGTTTAGAGGATAAACTAAATATATACATTGTCCACATACATCTACCTCGAAACATTTTTCTATAGATATTCATTGAAAACGAAAATACTGAAAAATTTTAATTTAGCACTTTTCCATTACGGTCCATTTCAAAAAAATCATGTATAAACAAAAATTATAGAGATCGATATCTCAAACAACTTTTAGTTCAACAATTTTCATAAAATTCAGAATTTTGCACATTTTGTCAAATTTCTCGAATACGGACCATTTCAGGAAATTTTGACATAAAACAAAAATTATAGATAATAATATTAGAAGTAACTTTTATTTGAACAATTTTCTTCTCCAAACATAAATAACAGATATTTTCCATAAAATATAAAAACGGCCTCCCATAAAGTACCCCCCCAGATGTTCCGACTTTCTTCAAAATCTAATCATTTCACGTCAGTCCGAAATAAACCTTAAGTTTAAAATTTAATGTTTTTTTCTTTATCCGTTTTTGAGTTTTCTTCAAAATTTGAAATTTACACATTTTCTCAAATATCTCGAATACGGTCCATTTTAGAGAAATTATGTATAGAATAAAAATTATAGAGAATTATATTACAAACAACTTTTATTTGAACAATTTTTATAAAAAATAATTTTTTTTTACATTTTGTCAAATTTCTCGAATACGGACCATTTTAGGAAAATTTTGCATTAAACAAAAATTATAGATAATTATATTAGAAGTAACTTTTATTTGAAGAAATTTCTTCTCCAAACGTAAATAACAGATATATTCCATAAAATATAAAAATGACCACCTATAAAGTACCCCCCCAGATGTTCCGACTCTGCCCAAAATCTAATCAGCTCATTGGACGCTGAAACAAAGCTTAAGTTTAAAATTTGTTGTTTTTCTGTGTATCGGTTCATGAGTTATGCGTTATACAGACACACACACACACACACACACACACACACACACACACACACACACACACACACACACACACACACACACACAGACACACACACACAGACATCATCGCGAAAATAGTCAAAACGGATTCAGGGGACCTCAAAACGTAAAAATCCGTCGAAAACTCGAGGTCGAAAACTCGAGGTCGAAAAAAATCATGATTCCTATACTTTCCTTATATCTGTATACAGATAGGAAAGTAAAAAGTGTTTTTATTATTTAGAACATATCCTGATTCACAATAAAAAATGAGAGGGAATGCAAAAATCACTATAACGACATTTCATATTATTAACGACAGCTCTTTGGCTATCGTTGATGAACGACAATTTTACAACCATGTTTGTCTATTTTCAACGACAATCGTTGTCTACTGAATAAGAAAAGTCGTCTGTGAACGATTATCGTCTATTAACGACGTCGTTCAGAGTTACTGAATAGGCCCCTTAGGCCTTAGGCCCCTTAGGAGCCACAGAGCTGTCGTTAATAATATGAAGTGTCGTTATAATGATTTTTGCATTCCCTCTCATTTTTCATTGTGAATTAGGATGTGTTCTAAATAATAAAAGCACTTTTTAGTTCTCAGTTTTTTTTAATATATCCCTACTCATTTAAATAAACCCTATACATACAATACGACCAGCAAAAATGGGCGCGAGAAACAGAATTCCTACGAATCGACCCCCTAATCGTGTTGTAGGTTAAGAACAATAATTAATACCTATATTCTGAAAAACAAATGAATATATCTACTGGTAGAATTTGTATTTTATGTTCCAAAAAAATGTCAAAACTACCGGGTGTTCAAATTAAAATGTTACAGTTAAATACCGCCTTTTATAAAAACGAAAGTTTTATAGTTTTTTGGGGAAAACATTTTGGCTAAAATCATTTTTTATAGCTAACTATAATATGGCCAGCTTTTTTTTCACGCAGCAGTATGTGTTACTCAATAAGTAGAAGTCTAATAAAAAAATGTTTCGTTTAGAAGTTTCTTATTTGTTTATGAACTTTAAGAATACCTATGTAAAAAATAGGGTTCCAATTTGAAAAAAAAAATCCACCTCGATATGGCCATATTATGATCAGCTATAAAAAAATTAATTTAGCCAAAATGTTTCCCATAAAAAACTATAAAACTTTTGTCTGTTACTTTTTTGTATAAAATGCATATTTTCGGCGATATTTAACTGTAACACTTCAATTTAAACACCCGGTATAATCATCAACATACGTTCTTTTATCACAAAACACTAAATTATAATACCAACTTGCTAGAAATCATCGTTCAGATTGGTAACTAGAAACAACGTAACGACTTTGTTATTGAATAGAGTTTCAAAAATTATCGTTATAAAAGTCGTTACGTTGTTTCTAGTTACCAAATCTGAACGATGATTTCTAGTAAGTTGGTATTATAATTTAGTGTTTTGTGATAAAAGAACGTATGTTGATGATTGTACCGGGTGTTTAAATTAAAGTTTTACAGTTAAATATCGACAAAAATATGAATTTTATAAAAAAAAGTATCAGACAAAAGTTTTATAGTTTTTTAGGGGAAACATTTTGGCCAAATTATTTTTTTTATAGCTGACCATAATATGGCCATATCGAGGTGGATTTTTTTTCAAATTGGAACCCTATTTTTTTACATAGGTATTCTTAGAGTTCATAAAAAAATAAGAAACTTCTAAAGGAAACATTTTTTTTATTGGATTTCTACTTATTGAGTAATACCTACTTGAAAAATTTTGCTGCGCGAAAAAAAGTTGGCCATATTATATGGTTTGCTATAAAAAAAACAATTTTAGCCAAAATGTTTTCCACAAAAAACTATAAAACTTTGTTTTTTTTATAAAAGGCGGTATTTAACTGTAACCCTTTAATTTGAACACCCGGTATATTTGACATTTTTTTGGAACGTAAAATAAAAATTCTATCAGTGATATATTCATTTTTTTCAGAATATATTAATTATTGTTCTTAACCTACAACACGATGAGGGGGTCGATTCTCGATTCGTAGGAATTCTGTTTCTCGCGGGCCATTTTTGCTGGTCGTAGGTATTGTATGTAGGGTTTATTTAAATGAGTATGGATATATTAAAAAAAAACGGGAATTATTCCAAAAGAATACAAAAAAACAACTCGAGAAGAGTACAAGTTGTATTTATTGGATTTAAAAGACAAGCCAAATTTGATATCCTTTTTCCTGATCATCTTTTCTGTTTATGTCATCGGCTTCGACAACTCAGGCCATTAGCCTCGTTTTCTGTGTAGGTTACGGAGAAGTACCTATTATTTAGGTATAATAGGTACTTCCATAAAATAGGTTTTGTTACTGTTTCGCAGTGCTACTTTAGGAACATCACTGTTTTAATAAGAATCCAATAGTGGTTGAATGGGCAATCCTATAACTTTGAATCAGATTTATTTTTAAAATAATTAAATAAATTAGAAAAAAATTCCTTACAAATTGTACTTGCTGTATTAGGTAGATGGCAATTTAGTTGTAAAATTTATAAAAAAGTGCTTTTATTATTTAGAACACATCCTGATTCACAATAAAAAATGAGAGGGAATGCAAAAATCTCTATAACGACACTTCATATTATTAACGACAGCTCTTTAGCTATCGTTGATGAACGACAATTTTACAACCATATTTGTTTATTTTCAACGACAATCGTTGTCTACTGAATAGGAAAAGTCGTCTGTGAACGATTATCGTCTATTAACGACGTCGTTCAGAGTTACTGAATAGGCCCCTTCGTCTGGTTAAAAATTATGTTGGCACTACTGTATGTCAAAGTCAACTTTGGTGTTCCGTGAATTTGATTTGAAAAAGTAGCGTTGTTTGTTGTTCAAGAAAAATCCGTTATTTTAGAAGGTGAAGCATAAGAAGCGTCAAATCGTTTATAAACAAATCTTTGTTTTTGAGCCGTAGATAAAAGAAAAAAAAAAGCATAGTTGAAAAAAATAACGATGGAGAACTCCAGTTCTAGTTGTAGTAGTGAATCGGATAGTGAAGGTTGTGGATATTTAGTTTTTTTCATGAAAAAAGGCGAACAATCTTATACGCTAGTAGAAGGTGAAACGACAATCGGGAGTTCCGTTGATGCTGATATTCGGCTGATGCCACAAACGGCTCCAATCCACTACTGCTCTATTGATGTAAATGAATATGGAATTGTAAGTATAAATTTTATTGCTTTTATATGTGAGCATCCCAAGCTTGGTCATGTAATATCATCATGGTCGCCCAGGTCTTATCACGAATGTAATCATATTATTATTAAGTAATCCCGATGGTTTAAAATTAACACATTTTCGTCTTGTTGAACCAATTCTCTCACATGTATATGATTAGATTTTTTGGGGCTGTTCAGCTCATCTGGAGTCTGTATTCTGTACTATGTACATAAAAGAGTTATAAAATGCATGGCTGGGGTTTCAGCAAACAAATTTTTCATGACTTAAAATCAACACTTTGTGTGTATACTTACTATAAAAAACAGGAATTCAAACTAATAGATATAGAAACTCAAACAGTTATATTACGTGTAATCACAAAAATCTATAAGTATTTTTATAGGCTTTCAGTTGGACAGAAATAATTAGAAAACTATTGAGGTATTGCATGTTTTTATAAATATATTTAAATTAATGGCAACGGAAAAAACCTTATATGAATTCAAAGATAAGCTTTAAGCATATCTTTTGTCTAAGAAGCTATACTTAATCTTTTTTTCTATTTCAATACACTTGATTATTGAGTCGCTATTTGCCCATTGATGATCTTAAATAGTTTTTGATCAATTTTAGCTTTGAGAAAGTTCTCTTCGCTGAAGCAACTGATAAAGGCATTGTTAACAAAATTGGCAAAGGGAGCTTGTATTTGAAAAAGTATGAGTTAAATTATTTTTAATAATATGATCTAACATTGATCTAAATATGATCTTGTAACAATTTTTGTTCTGTTTATATATTTCTTTATTTGGCAAAGCTAATAGCACATTACAAATAAATAAAATTACAAAAATATATATCTATATCTAAAATATAAAGCAAAATATAACACTTTAAACATTAAAACATCATATTAACATATAATAGGTACCTATCTTAATATATATTTAGATGTATTAAATGAGGCAACATTTCTGAGTTCTGTATTATTTTTATTTTTCATAATTTGAGACAATTAATATGACAAAATATGACAAAACAGAAGATATTCAACCGAACTGGTTCATAAAGATAGTAATTTACTAACTTCTTATCAACTTTATTTGAAATCGGTAATCAGATTTATGTTAAAAACAAACCATTTTAAACAAGGATTGTCTCATAGCATTAATACTAGACTGGCTGCTAAAAAAGATTTATGGCTTCAAAATCCTAAATATACTGCATGTCAGAACCATATCTATTGTGTAGGTCCTAAGGTATATAATTGTTTACCAAAGGAATTTTAAAATAAGTCATATTATAAAATCAAAAATAGGATAAACCAATGGATAGTTGAAACAATTTCGTCACTAATGTTTTCACAATTAGTTATCACAAGATCTATAAGTGAGCCACTATTGTTATTATTGGAGGGCTGGGTGTAATTTGTAAAACAATAGTTTTCAAACCAATCTCAGTAATACAATTTTTTTAATCTACTACTATATGTATTTTGCATCAAGTCAATGTTAAAATCACCTGTTACAATTTTATTAAAATTACAACCACATAAAAAGCATATGTAAAATATTCAAAAAGTTTAAAAATTCCTTACAAGTACTAGGGGATTTGTATAAACAACTAAGTATTTATTGTTTTCAAATAAAAATTTCAATAGTACTTATTATCCAATATTTTTTTGTGTGCAAAATTTTTTACAACTCAAAACTTTTGACTACTTATGTAGATTAAAGCCACATCCATGTGAGAACTGTCATTAACTATATTATAATCATTTGTAGTAATTTCAAAATCAAATATTTCATCAGTAAGATGAGTTTCAGAGAGGCATATTATTAATGGTATTTTCTTATTCTTGATGTCAATTTGTAAACTTTTCCATTGGTTTAGATACATTATATTGTCTTTTGCTAAGTTTTCAATATATTAATGTTCATATTTTTTAATTGAGTAAGCTGATCAGTCATATTTCTTCGATTATCCTCCAATGCAAAATTTAAGAACTCTAAATTTAATTAACTTTTTACTTACATCCATAAAGTTTTCGTTTTCAATTTTAAGAATGTCAATGGGTTTCTCACAATCAATGTTATTAGCCTCCAACATCCTCATTGTCAGAAACGTACTGCTTTTTATAGTATTCAACTCCTTAACATCCAGTTGCAGTTTTAATATTGTCTCTTTTTTTCCATTATGGTTTCATCATATTAATTTTTTGCAGACAGTGCACTTTGTAGTTTAGAGTTGAGAGACTCAATTTCCCTAGATTGCTTTGCAATTTGCACTTATAATAATAATAATACTTAACCCTTTTAAATCATTTACATGATATAGGATAAGTCATTTACATATAAAGATGTACAATAGTATATATTTACAAAAGAGATATAAAATCTAACACATTTAGATATACAATTTAAAAATAAATACACAAAATTAAAATTAGGACTGATTTGCTTGAAAACACCCATATGACATAGGCTGTACCATCTACTACAAAAACTACAGGAGAAATTAATGAATGCTATAGGGGCATTTTTGGGATAAATAGCTTTATAATTTGCATTTAAATGAGCTGACTATTAATTTGTTTAGAGATGTAAGTAGATGATTGAATAAATAAACAAAAAAGAACTAAATAAAAATAAGAAAAAAAAATGAGAATAAATAAAAATAAATAAAAACAAATAAATTTAAATAAAAATAATTAAAACTAAAAAACTATAAAAAAAATAAGTAAATAAATAAAAATAAATAAAAATAATAAAACTAAAAAAATAAGTAAATAAATGAAAATAAATAACAAATAAAAATATATAAAAAAATTAAAATAAATAATAGTTAAAAAACAAACAAAATTTAAATAAATAAAAATAATAACAATTAGTTAAACAAATTAAATAAAAATAGGTAAATTATTAAAAATTAAAAAATAAAAAATAAATAAAATTAAACAAAAATAAATGAGAAGATAAGTGTAAAAGAAAATGAATAAAAATAATAAAATATATTAAAATAAATAAAAACAAATAAATTTAAATAAAAATAATTAAAACTAAAAAACTAAAAAAAAATAAAAATAAATAAAAACAAATAAATTTAAATAAAAATATATAAAAAAATTAAATTAAATAATAGTTAAAAAACATACAAAATTTAAATTAATAAAAATAATAACAATTAGTTAAACAAATTAAATAAAAATAGGTAAATTATTAAAAATTAAAAAATAAATAAAATTAAACAAAAATAAATGAGAAGATAAGTGTAAAAGAAAATGAATAAAAATAAATTAAGAAAAATGAAAATAAAAAAAATGATAAAAAAAAAATAAATAAAAATAATTAAAAAAGGTTAAAAAAAATGAACTAAAAATAATTGAAAAGATAAATGTAAGAGAAAGTAAATAAAAACAAATAAGAAAAAATGAAAAGAAATATTCATTTTTATTTTTTTACTTTTATTTGTTTTTATTTACTTTCTTTTACATTTATCTTTTTATTTATTTTTTTTTAATTTCTATTTTTAATAAATTACCTGTTTATTTAATTTTTTTAACTCCTTGTAATTATTTTTATTTTTTTTTTATTTATTTTCTTTTACACTTATCTTTTCATTTATTTTTGTTTAATTTTTATTGTTTTTATTTATTTAAATTTTTTTTTTATTTTTTATTATAATTTTTTTATTTATTTTTATTTATTTTTTTAGTTTTAATTATTTTTATTTGTATTTATTTATTTTTTAAGTTTTTTAGTTTTATTTATTTTTATTTATATTTATTTGTATTTATTTTTAATTTTATTTATTTTTATTTATTTTCTTTTACTTTTATATTTTTATTTATTTTTGTTTAATTTTATTTATATATTTATTTTCATTTTTATTTTTATTATTTTTATTTTTATTTATTTAATGGAACTTCAAGTGGGGACCAAACTGTCGCGATGTCGTTTTTATTAGTTCACTCCTCATATTTTTCATGTCAGGCAAGCTAATAAGTTTACTTTAAAATTTACCATATAAATTCGTATAATTAATTGAAAATTTCTAAATTAAAATTTTCAACTTAAAAAACTAAAAAATTTGTTTTAAAGATATTTATAATTTTCTGAGTAAACAATAAAAAGAAACTATAAAATCAGTGAATTTTCAGCTTGCTATGATTTTTCCAAGTCAGTTATATCTCCTCTTAATTTCTAACCACCCAGTTTTAATAATAGCAAAAAATGTCAAATATTATTTTTGTGTAAAACTTTATGCTTTACAATTTTTATTTAAAACTTTTTTTTATAGCACCTACCGTTTTTAAATAACCTTAAAAAAACACTTTATTTTCTTGTTTTCTGACATTTGCTGGTGCCTGAAAAACAAAATTTTTTTTACATATCGTTTTCAAATACTCTAAAGTGACTTATATCAAATATTCCTGTATTTCCTCCAAAATTTTGATTCAAAGGTCTATTTAATTGGACTAATAGCAACAAGAGGCAATCTGGAATTAAGTTCCTCAGGTGATTCTGCATCGACAACAACAACATTGGTATCGTCTGCATATATTGAAATGTGACCAGATGAGATAAAGTTAGGCAAGTTGTTTATGTAAAGGAGAAATATGAGTGGACCCAATACTGATCCCTGAGGAACACCACAATCCATGTCCTTTACTTCTGATGAGCAATCATTGATTCTAACAGACATTTTATGAGAATATGTAAGAATTAATCCATTGCAAAAAGTTAGCCCTAAAACCTAAAGCACTTAATTTTTCAATAATAATTGAGATATCAATGGTGTCAAAAGCTTTAGACAAATCAAAAAAGATTGCACCCACTAACCGTTTTTTTTATCCAGCTGATTGTGGACATAATTTTAAATTTAAATAAAAATGATAACATTTTTTTATATATACGTTTTTCAAAAATTTTACAAAGAACAGTAGACACTGTGATTGGTCTATAATTTTCAAGAGCCATTGAATCACTTTTTTCTAAAAATAGGTGATACTATACCAGTTTTAAATTCTTTGGGGAATATGCTATTTTTTTAAAGACATTTTGATTAGATATGCAATTGGTTATGATATACAGGGTGTCCTTTAAAATGTGTCCCAAAATTCTCAGGCAGATTCTATAACCAAAAAATGGAAAAAAAGTTCCTATAGACCTATGTCCTAAAGTGCCCCCTAAGCGAGCAACAGCCTCTCGAAATCATTTTTTTTATTTTGATTTTTTGAATTTTCTTAAAAATGGAAACAAATAAAAGAACCAAATTTTGGCTGTTAAATATGATCAATAATAGTGACCTTTTGACACCTTCAAAAAGAAATTATTTCGTCAGGGGTGTACTTGGGAATTTTTTGAAAATTTTGATTATTCATAACTTTTTTGTGTTTTTGGTAATGACTTATCCATATTTTTTTTTACATTCTACATTGAAAACTACGTCAAAAAGGAATACTTGTTTGATCTCGATTGGAGCAGCCGTTTCCGAGAAAACATCATCCAAAGATATTCGTGCAGTTTAGGTTAATTTTCAATTTTGGCTGTTGTAGCCAAAAAGTTGGAAATCGAGGAACACGGCTTACATGTCCCTATCCTTACTTTTGAAGGTCTATTCAGTGGCAAAAAATATTAGTTGATACAGGGTGATCAAAAATCGGATGTGATTTTGGATTTTTGATCACCCTGTATCAAATAATATGTATTTTATGTCACTGAATAGACCTTAAAAAGTTAGGATAGGGACTGTAAGCCGTTTTCCTCGATTTCCAACTGTTTGGCTACAACAGCCACCTGAATTTGAAAAAATGTGATTTTTGAGTAGCTGTAGATCCTTTACTATTCATATTAGATAACAAGTGTGATATATCATTGAAATCAGATTATCGAGCAGATTCTAAAAATATAAAAATATACAGGGTGTTCCATTTAAAAAACATAACTTTGATTTGGCACGGCCTTATGAAACACCCTGTCACATCGTAACTAATTTTAAAATGTGAAGCTTAAAGCTGCCTACTTTTATTATAACAGATCTACAGAGCTTCCTCACACTAATCAATCACCCTGTATACTATTTTTAGCTCTCTAAATAAAATTTAAAAATTTAGTTCCCATTTATTTATTATGAAGACCATAAGGTTTGTATTTAGCTGTTTAGAATAAAAAAGTAAAAATATGTATTTTTTTGGCGTTTTTGTGTTTCATGGATAATTTTTTTCGCTCACTGATAAAAATGTTTCTTCAGTTAAACATTATTTCTAAAAGTGTTCTGGTGCGATTCGTTGTATTGTTATTATTTTGTTTAAAATGGCTCACAATAACTACAATAATGATTACACATTCGGCGAAATGACGGACATGCACTTATGTTTTGGACTCGCTTCTGGAAATGCCAATGAAGCTCGCAGACTTTATCAGGAGCGCTTTCCAAATAGGCATCTTCCATGCGCTAAGACGTTTTCTAGAATTGACGATAGACTTCGGGAAACTGGTACATTTAAGAAAAACTCTAGTAACAGTAGAAGACAAAATTATGTGAGAACTCCTGCTTTGGAAGAAGCAATTTTGGATAGGGTAGCTGAAACCCCATCGACAAGTACCAGAAAAATAGCAAATGGTAAGTAATTACTTATTTATTATTTTAGCTACCCCGTACCTTATCGTATAAAACTAGTTTTTTTACTTGTTATTGCTTCTCTTACATTTCACGACTTTTCGTATCGAAAAGAGTTGGCGTTATGCAGAAAAAATCTGATTTCCCAAATCAATGGATTCTCTTTCTTAACTATTCACTACACAGATTCTCTCATTTAATTTCAGAAGTGGGAGTCGGACGTAACACGGTATGGAAAGTTTTGCGTGAACAACAATTGTACCCTTACCACATTCAAAAAGTTCAGGCACTTAAAGCTACTGATTATGAGCCGCGAGTTATCTTTTCTGAATGGTTTCTTGGAAGATGTAATCAAGATGCAATGTTTCTTAATAAAGTGCTATTTACCGATGAAGCTGGTTTCACTAGAGATGGTATAATAAATTTTCGAAATATGCATGAATGGGCTGAAGATAACCCTCACGCGGTTGTTGAACGTCACCACCAGGATAAATTTTCAATAAACGTCTGGGCTGGAGTTATTGATAATTACCTTATTGGACCATTTGTTTTGTCGAATAGGTTAAATGGAGCAGCATACAGGCTTTTTTTGGAAAATAACTTACATGAGCTTCTTGATAATATTCCGATTCAAATCAGACATAACATGTGGTTTATGCATGATGGAGCTCCACCACATTACAGCCTTGAAGCTAGACAGCACCTTAACGAAAGATTTGAGGGTAGAGTAATTGGCAGAGGTTGTCCTGTTAACTGGCCACCTCGTTCACCAGATCTAAATCCAATGGATTTTTTTGTTTGGGGTTATTTAAAATCATTGGTTTATTCCAGTCCTGTTGAAACAGTTGAAGAATTGGAAGAACGAGTTTTTCATCATTGCGAAGTTCTTAGGAATAATCCTGAAGTATTTTTTCGTGTAAGACAGTCTATGATGCGACGGTTGCGCTTGTGTGTGGAAACCAATGGTGGCCACATTGAGCATCTGCTTTAATTTTTTTTGATTTGTTTTTTAGAATAAATATTTTTTTAAACCGTTTCTTATTATTAAATAAAAATAGTCCCACCACGACATTTGAACTACAATTATTTAGAGAGAGCTAAAAAAGTTATTTTTATTTACGAGATTCACCGAGGTAATTTAGGAAAATTAAAAATTAAGCTAAAGTGGACGAATATCTTTGGATGATGTTTTCTCGGAAACGGCTGCTCCAATCGAGATCAAACAAGTATTCCTTTTTGACGTAGTTTTCAATGTAGAATGTAAAAAAAAATATGGATAAGTCATTACCAAAAACACAAAAAAGTTATGAATAATCAAAATTTTCAAAAAATTCCCAAGTACAACCCTGACGAAATAATTTCTTTTTGAAGGTGTCAAAAGGTCACTATTATTGATCATATTTAACAGCCAAAATTTGGTTCTTTTATTTGTTTCCATTTTTAAGAAAATTCAAAAAATCAAAATAAAAAAAATGATTTCGAGAGGCTGTTGCTCGCTTAGGGGGCACTTTAGGACATAGGTCTATAGGAACTTTTTTTCCATTTTTTGGTTAAGGAATCTGCCTGAGAATTTTGGGACACATTTTAAAGGACACCCTGTATAATGACCATTAGATTTAATTATTTTAGTTTTAATGCAATCTACACCATTGCATTAGTATTTTTTAAAGAACTAATGACTGCAGTTACTTCTTGGGAATCTGTTCCATCTTAGAAGAATATATTTTTTACATGCATGATTGTGTGGTTATGAAAATTTGTATTGTCAAAATTATCTCTAACAGTGTTACTAGCTGTGGTTGAAAAATAGCAAAACAATTACCAATGTCATCAACATTGATCTGTATTGGCTTTATAGATTTGCTTTTGCCAGTTATAGAGTGTACTGTATTCCATATAATTTTTTGTTTTTGTTTTCTAACAATTTTTTATAATGATCCTTTATTAATTGAACATAATCTTTTTTTTTTCAAGTTTTGTAATTTCTTAACAATACTGAGCTGTTACAAGTTTTAGTAAGCCAATACAAATTTTTAAGATCATTACCTGTATGTATGTTTTTGTTTACCCATTGCCTTGATGTATTGTTTTTAATCATTTTTGTTTTGACAAGGGGACAAGTTACATCAGTATGATGTGAAATGATTCTAAAGAATGTATCAAAAGCATCATCAGTACTTATACACAGGCGAAAAATCTTCATTATTTAGTTTTGCATTAAGATTTGCCAAGTTTGTAAAAGAAAGATCTCTAAAAGTTACTATTTCATTGTTAATTTTGCTTTGTGCACATGGGATGTCTCCAAGCATAACATTCAAACCAAATTGATCACCTAGATTAAAATCAACCACAGTTTCAGTATATATGGGAAAAATTGTTAAAAAATAGTCTTTTTTTAAATTTAGTAATACAGTTGTTTTTATCTATATATACTTGCGAGGGGTCATGATTCTGACAAGTTAGGATAAAACTCTGAATAAGATAAGTAAGGAAAGGAGATGTTTATTATAAGAATCTGTTAGAAAGTCAATGTTAAAATCTCCACATAAACATACAGCATCATAAAAAACAACAACATAATTTAAAATATATGACAATTTTTTAATATTTTGACTCTGCTTCTATTACTAAGTTTTCGAAACTTTGACTGCTTCTTTTTTGTGTTTTAATATGGCCTTCTTTATCCTTCAGATTTTCCTTTAGTTTGGAAATTTTTAACTCTAATTTCATTATACCTTTTTAGGTTTTTACAACTGCATGAGAAATCGTAAAAGTGTTCAGTATTATTATGATTTTAAGAATACTTAAATAATTTATTTTTGTTACTTCTGCTTTCAACCAAAGTGAATGAATTTTTTAATTTTTATAGGCTACCTTATTTAACAAATGTACAGCAAGTCTAATAAAGGTGAATGAAGCTCCTTTAAAGGACCATACAATCCTACGAAGTGGTGATTTTATACAATTACAAGGGAAGAAGTTTCAGTATCTCAATGACTTTATTACAAACAAGGTAATTTTTGGCTTTTTTTTTCATCAAATCCTTACTTGATTTCTTAAGATTAAACATCAAACATTGTATACTTAAAATTATTCTTATTTTTAGGACATAGATGAATTTATAAAAGGACGATTAGCACCTTCGCATAGAAAGTCTACAACGATCCTTAAAAGTGCCAGACAATCTATTTCTAGTGCAAAAAAAACTCCTATGAGTTCCAAGAAGTCTCCCACATTAAAGTAGGTTTATAATTTTTATATTTTTTTTTAATATTGATTAACTTTTCATGAAAAATATTGATTTAATGAATTCTTTTTTTTTTTAGAACAAAAACTCCATCACAATTGCCATTGAGAAGGCAGACCAGAAAATCAGAAAGGTAATAATTGCTTTAATTTTTAAATTTTATGTTTGTGACATGTTTCATTAAAGTTTTTTGAATGGAATCTCGTAGATTTTGAGGCATTAATTCCAAAAATGTGGGTTTAATATATTTCAAAAAACACCATGTATAACCTTTTTTTTTTATTAATACATTTCCTATCTTATAAAGTTAATATTTGTCAAAATATAGCACTCCAACGTTTGCTTTTTGAAATATTTCATTAACGGTAAATCCTACAGAAAAATACCTTGTATATAATTTGCAGAGCATGAGATTATCTACAATTTTTGTAACTAACATTTTTTCGTAGTTTCAATATTTTATTGTTATTATTTATATTTTCCTACAGCATAATTCATTCGAAATTGCCAAATTCTGACAAGAAATCCAAGAGATACTCAGCAATGTAAGTACTATATTAAATTTGATTTAATTTTTCTAGTCCACATCTATTCTTAAAAAGGTTTATAAATTGTTATTCTATATTTTAACACACTTTTCTTTTTTTTTTGTTTAGTCTTTCATTCATTTTGTAATGATACATTTTTACGCCAAAAACTTATTTTTTTTTACCGTCTAGATTATTTTTTACTATTTTTCTTTCATCAAAAGTTACTTTGTCTCTGTCTGAATATTATAGGGAAACGTCAATAATTTTGTCGTCAATTCCATTTTTTTTTTTAAATTTAAATTTTCCATATTTTTTTTCACGTCTTTTTTAAATTAGTTTCTCATTAAAAAACATTGTTCTATAAAAAGTAAGACAAACGTTAAAAATGGAAAAGAAGAATATTTAAATAGAATATACTTAAAATGAAAAAACAAAATAAAAAAAAAAATAATAAAAAAATAGTTTTTGTAAAAAATCAGTTAAATACTACATCAAAATACAAAAACTAAAATCTAAAATTATCTAAACATAATATCTTAAAATATCTTAAAATAATATGTCGTCAACATTGATCTGTATTGGCTTTATAGATTTGCTTTTGCCATATAATTTTTTGTTTTTGTTGGTGATTTTTGTTTTCTAACAATTTTTGATGATCCTTTTTAGTTTAATACAAAAACTGAAATCTAAAAATATCTAAACATAATATCTTAAAATAACTTAACATATCTTATGATATCTTATAATATCTCAAAATTTCTCTAAATATCTCAAAATATCTTAAAATATCTTAAAATATCTTAAAATATCTTAAAATATCTTAAAATATCTTAAAATATCTTAAAATATCTTAAAATATCTTAAAATATCTTAAAATATCTTAAAATATCTTAAAATATCTTAAAATATCTTAAAATATCTTTAAAATATCTTAAAATATCTTTAAAATATCTTAAAATATCTTAAAATATCTTAAAAATATCTTAAAATATCTTAAAAAATCTCTTAAAATATCTTAAAATATCTTAAAATATCTTAAAATATCTTAAAATATCTTAAAATATCTTAAAATATCTTAAAATATCTTAAAATATCTTAAAATATCTTAAAATATCTTAAAATATATCTTAAAATATCTTAAAATATCTTAAAATATCTTAAAATATCTTAAAATATCTTAAAATATCTTAAAATATCTTAAAATATCTTAAAATATCTTAAAATATCTTAAAATATCTTAAAATATCTTAAAATATCTTAAAATATCTTAAAATATCTTAAAATATCTTAAAATATCTTAAAATATCTTAAAATATCTTAAAATATCTTAAAATATCTTAAAATATCTTAAAATATCTTAAAATATCTTAAAATATCTTAAAATATCTTAAAATATCTTACAATATCTTAAAATATCTTAAAATATCTTAAAATATCTTAAAATATCTTAAAAATATCTTAAAATATCTTAAAATATCTTAAAATATCTTAAAATATCTTAAAATATCTTAAAATATCTTAAAATATCTTAAAATATCTTAAAATATCTTAAAATATCTTAAAATATCTTAAAAATATCTTAAAATATCTTAAAATATCTTAAAATATCTTAAAATATCTTAAAATATCTTAAAATATCTTAAAATATCTTGAAAAATATCTTAAAAATATTCAAAGATGATTAACTAATGATTTAAAGATGATCTAAAGATGATCTAAAGATGATCTAAAGATGATCTAAAGATGATCTAAAGATGATCTAAAGATGATCTAAAGATGATCTAAAGATGATCTAAAGATGATCTAAAGATGATCTAAAGATGATCTAAAGATGATCTAAAGATGATCTAAAGATGATCTAAAGATGATCTAAAGATGATCTAAAGATGATCTAAAGATGATCTAAAGATGATCTAAAGATGATCTAAAGGTGATCTAAAGATGATCTAAAGATGATCTATAGATGATCTATAGATGATCTATAGATGATATAAAGATGATCTATCAAAATCACAACGCGGACCCACTGATCAATATAAATTGAATAAATAATTTTTAACATAACCTACCTTAACATAACAGGTGCTTTCAAGGAAAGTTAAAATATTAACCAGTTTTAATGTACATGTATTTCAAGAATACCCTGTATTTTCCACAATTTTAAAACCTAACAAAATCATAATTCAAAACAATACAATAATGTACATTTTCTACGCCACAAAATAAATATCAGAAATTTGAATGTAAATTATCTTTTCAAGATCATTTAATACAAGAAAATCGCCGCAAAGTACAAGAAAAATCACCGCAAAGGTACAAGAAAATCACCGCAAAGTACCGGAAAATCACCGCAAAGTACCGGAAAATTAAATATATCTACTCGGAGAAGCGTAAACGAAAATTTACGACGGTTATCGTTGTCTAATGCGAGAAAAATCTCGCACGAGTACCAGAAAATCCAGTCTACCTATGCTGAAAAAACATAAACGAATCTTCTTTGTTAGAAAATTCAATGTCATCCCCACTCGGATGTAGAAAACTTAAACGAATCGTCTCTATTGACAGATTCGATTTTGGAAGATGACGAAGAAACAGTTGCGTCTTCCCCAGGAAAATCCGCAGCCAGTAACAAGCGCTCAAGCAAAAATCTACTCATAGATCTTGTTAGATCTTCAGAGGAAAACGACCAGAAGAATGATACAAGAAAATCTGCAGGAAAAACGAGACAATCTGTTAGAAAATCAATAGTGATCAATTTATGCGATCTATCTTACCAAGAAGTGTCTCCTAAAAAAGTTAGAACGACAAAATCGCCAACAAGCGCTAGAAAATCCCAAACAACTGCATTACCTAACAGAAAATCCAGTCTAGTTATAGTAATAGACCAGGATATATCAGCTGTTGAAGATAACGATACCGCTGTATCGTCTCCCGCTAGAAAAAGCCGCTCTACAATGTCCAGACGATCAACAACTGAAAATGTCTCATCACCTAGAAAGAACGGAGCCTTGAGTTCACCAAACAAGACGCCCAACAAAAGAACTAGAATGTCTACAACATCAGATGCAGATAATTTCGACACCTCCGACTCAGGGTGGTCTACCAAAACTCTCCAAAACACCATACCGGACTTGCGAGAATCAGAAATTGAAGCTTTCAGAGCCAGTACATCGCCTGCATTGAATTTCATAACCTCTACAGCCAGAAAAAGCAAACGATCCAAATCTCTATCGGCAACGACGTCGGTTGCGGACCACAATTACTGCAAACGTGGCAGCAAATCATTATCGGATACTAATCCAGAAGATTTTGCAGATAACGAAAGCGGCATTGACGATTTAGAAGAAGAGTTTCCAACAAAAAGACTGCCAGCTCCACGATCCAAATCCATGGGTTCTAAACTTCAAACGCCTATTAAGAATAAGTTTCTATCTAGATCCAATAGGATTATGTTACTGCAGAAGGATTTAGACCTTCATTCGCCGATTAAGTCAGAGAAGCTGACCAAATCTTTAGTTTCTACGCTACGCACTCCCGATCAAAGTAGAAAATCGGGTTCAAAACTTGGCGTTAGATGGTCTAAATCTTTGGTTTCGATTCACACTCCAGAATCAACCAAAATGTCGGCTACATCCCGAAAATATTCAGTTCAAAATGATGAAGTATCAACTAGTGAAACATTTGATGGAATGTCAAATTCTAAAATCGGCACACCTATATTATCGCTATCTACAACTCTTAATTTGAGTAGAATGTCTTCAAAATCACGCAGATCTACAATGGCAGATGCGTCACAAAATGAAAGTGTCTTTGAAGATGTATCGCCTATTGGATCAGGCGGTAGAATGTCGTACAGATCGCGCACATTCACAATTGAAGATGACGAATCGCCAACGAAAACAGGAGATAAAGCTTCGATTTCTACAACTCTTAATAACAGTAGAATGTCTTCAAAATCACGCAGATCTACAGCAGCAGATGATTCACAAAATGAGAGTGTTCAATATGTATCTCCTAATAAATCAGGCGATAGAATGTCGTCTAGATCGCGCAAATCCACAATTGAAGTTGATGGTAACCTTGAATCGCCTACGAAAACAGGAGATATATTGTCGATGTCTTACAGCAGAATGTCTTCTAATTCACACAAATCTACAATAACAGATGATTCACAAAATGAAAGTGACTTTGAATATGTGTCTCCTAATAAATCTGGCCATAGAATGTCAAGATCGCGCAAATCCACAATTGAAGATGATGGTAACCTTGAATCGCCTACAAAAACGGGAGATAGATTGTCGATGTCTACAGCTCTTAATAACAATAGAATGTCTTCTAAATCACGCATATTTACAGTAACAGATGAATCACAAAATGAGAGTGACTTTGAAGATGTTGTATCCCCTAGTAGATCAGGAGATAGAAAGTCTAAATCTTTGGTGACGACAAAAGAAACTCCAAATCAATCTAGAATGTCATCAAGATCGCGCAAATCCACAATTGAAGATAATGGTAATCATGAATCGCCTAATAAAACAGGAGATAGGCTGTCGATTTTTACAAATCTTAATAACAGTAGAATGTCTTCAAAATCGCGAAGATCTACAACAGCAAATGAGTCACAAAATGAAAGTGAATTTGAAGATGTATCCCCTACTAGATCAGGCGATAGAATGTCTAAATCTTTGGTGACGGAAAAAGAAACTTCAAATCAATCTAGAATGTCTTCAATATCACGCAAATCCACAAATGAAGATGATGGTAATCATGAATCGCCTACTAAAGCAGGTGATAAACCTTTGATGTCTACAACTCTTAATAATAGTAGAATGTCTTCAAAATCACGCAGATCTACACCAGCAGATGAGTCACAAAATGACAGTGTCTTTGAATATGCATCTCCTAATAAATCAGGCGATAGAATGTCGTCAAGATCACGAAAATCCACAATTGAAGTTGATGGTAACCTTGAATCGCCTAAAAAAACAGGAGATAGATTGTCGATGTCTACAGCTCTTAATAACAGTAGAATGTCATCTAAATCTCGCAAATCTGCAGTAGCAGATAAATCACAAAATGAAAGTGACTTTGAAGATGTATCCCCTAGTAGATCAGGAGATAGAAAGTCTAAATCTTTGATGACGGCAAAACAAACTCCAAATCAATCTAGAATGTCATCAAGATCGCGCAAATCCACAATTGAAGATAATGGTAATCACGAATCGCCTACTAAAACAGGAGATAGGCTGTCGATTTTTACAAATCTTAATAACAGTAGAATGTCTTCAAAATCGCGAAGATCTACAGCAGCAACTGAGTCACAAAATGAAAGTGAATTTGAAGATGTATCCCCTAGTAAAACAGGTGATAGAAAGTCTAAATCTTTGGTGATGGCAAAAGAAACTCCAAATCAATCTAGAATGTCATCAGGATCGGGCAAATCCACAAATGAAGATGATAGTAATCATGAATCGCCTACTAAAACAGGAGATAGACCTTCGATGTCTACAACGCTTAATGACAGTAGAACGTCTTCAAAATCACGCAGATCTACAGCAGCAGATGAGTCACAAAATGACAGTGTCTTTGAATATGCATCCCCTAATAAATCAGGTGACAGGATGTCAAGATGGCGAAAATCCACAATTAAAGATGATGGAAATCTTGAATCGCCTACGAAAACAGGAGATAGATTATCGATGTCTACAGTTCTTAATTACAGTAGAATGTCTTCTAAATCACGCAAATCTACAATAGCAGATGAATCACAAAATGAAAGTGAATTTGAAGATGTATCCCCTAGTACAACAGGTGATAGAAAGTCTAAATTTTTGGTGATGGCAAAAGAAACTCCAAATCAATCTAGACTGTCAAGATCGCGCAAATCCACAAATGAAGATGATAGTAATCATGAATCGCCTACTAAAACAGGAGATAAACCTTCGATGTCTACAACTCTTAATAACAGTAGAATGTCTTCAAAATCACGCAGATCTACAGCAGCAGATGAGTCACAAAATGACAGTGTCTTTGAATATGCATCCCCTAATAAATCAGGCGATAGGATGTCAAGATGGCGAAAATCCACAATTAAAGATGATGATAACCTTGAATCGCCTACGAAAACAGGAGATAGATTGTCAATGTCTACAGCTCTCAATTACAGTAGAATGTCTTCTAAATCACGCAAATCTACAGTAGCAGATGAATCACAAAATGAAAGTGATTTTGAAGATGTATCCCCTAATAGATCAGACTATAGAATGTCTAAATCTTTGGGGACAGGAAAAGAAATTCCAAATCAATCTAGAATGTCGTCAAGATCGCGCAAATCCACAATTGAAGTTGATGGTAATCTTAAATCGCCTACGAAAACAGGAGATAGACCTTCGATGTCTACAACTCTTAATAACACTAGAATGTCTTCAAAATCGCGAAGATCTACAGCAGCAGATGAGTCACAAAACGAAAATGAATTTGAAGATGTATCCCCTAATAAATCAGGCGATAGGATGTCAAGATGGCGAAAATCCACAATTAAAGATGATGATAATCTTGAATCGCCTACGAAAACAGGAGATAGATTGTCAATGTCTACAGCTCTCAATTACAGTAGAATGTCTTCTAAATCACGCAAATCTACAGTAGCAGATGAATCACAAAATGAAAGTAATTTTGAAGATGTATCCCCTAGTAGATCAGGCGATAGAATGTCTAAATCTTTGGTGACAGCAAAAGAAACTTCAAATCAATCTAAAATGTCATCAAGATCGCGAAGATCTACTACAGCAGCAGATGAGTCACAAAATGAAAGTGAATTTGAAGATGTATCCCCTAGTAAAACAAGTGAAAGAAAGTCTAAATCTTTGGTGAGAGGAAAAGCAACTCCAAATCAATCTAGAATGTCATCAAAATCGCGCAAATCGTCAATTGAAGATGATGGCAACATTGAATCGCCTACGAAAGCAGGAGATAGGCTGTCGCGTTTTACAACTCTTAATTTGAATGGAACAACTTCAAAAACACACAGAGCTACAGTAGCTGATGAATCACAAGATGAAAGTATCTTTGAAGATGTATCGCCTAGTAGAACATTTGATAAAATGTCAAAATCTAAAATTGACACTCTTAATCAGTCTAGAATGTCATCAAGATCCCGCAAATCCACAATTGAAGATGGTGACAACCTTGAATCTCCCACTAAAACAGGAGATAGACTGTCTATGTCTACAACTCTTAATCAGACTAGAACTTCTTCAAAATCACGTAGATCTACAGTAGCAGATGAGTCGCAAAATGAAAGTAACATTGACGTTGAATCTCCTAGTAAAACATTTGATAGAATGTCTAAATCTTTGGTAACTGGAAAAGAGACTCCAAATCAGTCTAGAATGTCGTCAAGATCACGCAAATCCACAATTGAAGTTGATGACCTTGAATTACCTATGTCTACAACTAATAATCAGAGTAGAAAGTCTTCAAAATCGCGCAGATCTACAGCAGCAGACAACGATTTAAATATGTCGATTATATCAATTGAAGATAGATTGTCCACATCTTTGACATCTGCAGCAGGAACCCCTAATCAATCTAGAATATCATCTAGATCACGCAAATCTACACTACAAGATGATACCTTGTCAAAATCTTTTGTGTTTACTTCTGCAACTCCCAATCACAATAGGATGTCTTCCAAGTCACTTGGGGACGATAGTATTTTGACACCACCTACAAAAATTGGAGGTAGAGTATCTAAATCGTTGTCCAAAACAGCAACTCTTAATCAAAGTAGAATATATTCTAAATCATCTTTGACACCTGCAGTAGAAACTCCTAATCAGTCTAGAATATCTAGATCAAAAAAATCTGCAATACAAGATGAAAGTGTCACAAATTTGGAAGAACCATCACCTAAGAAACAAGTATCTGTGACATCTGTGATACTGACTCCTAATCAGTCTAAGATATCTTCAAGATCTCGCACATCTACAGTGCAAGATGAGAATACCGTTATTGATTTACTAGATGGATCACCCTTAACATCAGCAAATGTTACCGTAGAAACTCCTGCTCAGTTTAGATTATCATCAAGATCTCGAAAATCAACTGTACAAGATGATAGCAACTTAGACGAGTTCGCACACATTCCATCGCCTGTTCAACTAAACGTTAGAATAGCAAATTCTTTAGTTTCGAAATTAGAGACGCCAGAACAGAGTAGGATATCTTCCAGGTCTCGTAAATCTACATTGAATAACGATTTCGACCTCCCGTCGCCAATTCAAGCAGAAAACTTAGCGACGAAGTCTTTCATTTCAAAACTACGAACTCTAGAGCATACAAGGAAGTCATCCAGATCCAGACGATCAACTTTAACGGGAGATTTCGAATACACTTATCCTGCGGCGAACAAATCTTTAGAAGCCGCCTCGAACACCTACAATCTTGTTGAAACTATGCCCGCAGATGCGACAAACAAAGACAGAACTTCCAACGGTTTTTCTGTAATTAGTTTAAACGATTCCTCTGAAGATGTAGATGATGCATTCAACACTACCTCCAAGTCAGATAGAAGGAGTTCCAAGAACAGTACGTACAAGGTTTCTGGAGACCCCACTATAATTACCATAAACGATACTGCAGACGACGAAGATTTGGAAACAACCCGAAGATCGGAGAGACGGTAAGTTAAATCTGAACAATCCGCTAGTTAATCCGGATTTTACCCCATTTGATATTTTAATTTTAGAACCAAATCAACACCTTACATACCTATAACCGAGGATATCACTCCAGCTAGCACCAGGAAGGTACCGGCGGCCCAAAAATCGCCCGAAAACGATCTAACAAACGTACAAGGCGTCAAGAAACTCTTCGCCACTCCCAAGGAGGTCAAATCGCCCAAGAACGATCTCACCAAGGTGCCCAATTTGAGAAGGATCATGTCGCCGAGGCAACAGAACAGTCCCAGGAACCGTTTGAGCGATTTCAAGGGCGTGAGGAAGCTGTTGAAGTCGCCGCGCGCGATGAAGCAGCCTTTGAACGATCTACGCGACGTTCGGGGACTGAAGAAGTTGATGGCTACGCCGAGAGGGGCTCAGAAGGAACCGTTGAACAGGTTGTCCGATTTCGAAGGAGTCGCGAATTTGTTCAAAGCGGGCTCGCACAGGCTCAGCAATACCAGCGATATCGAGAACAACGCGGAGTTGTTTAGCAAAATTTTCGATCGACAACCTTTGAAGACTTACAGGTAAGACATTAATTTTTGAACTGTATTTATCTTTCGGAAATGATTAAAACATGCAATAGCTGCTGCTATTTTGAAAAATTGGTATTTTTGCACATAACTCAAGAAAGGTTCGTTTTACGACAAAAATAGCGATAATCATTATTGTAGATAATAAAATTTTCTATATTTTTTATCTGATACTTTTTTTTTGTAAAATTGATATTTTTCGAGATATATGTCAAAGTTTAAAAAAATTAACAAAGTTTTATTTTGTCCACATTGGTACTGATTAAGAAATATTTAGTAATAGACCCTCTCTTGCGTTGTATTTTAAAAAACGCTACTGTTACAAAAAAGAAAATTATCAAATTCAATGCATTAACCATTATTTTGTTACATAATTCAAGAAAACTTTGTTCTACGACAAAAATATCGATAATCATTATTGTAGATAATAAAAATTTCTACATTTTATATCTGATACTTTTTTTTGTAAAATTGGTATTTTTGGAGATACAACGCGTCAAAGTTTAAAAAAATATAGAAAATGTATTTTTGTATCGGTTAAGAAATATTTAGTAATAAACCCTGTGTTACGTTGTTCCTCAAAAAATATCAATTTTAAAAAAGAAATTAATAAATTTATGCATAAGCCGCTATTTTGTTAAATAACTCAAAAACGGTTCGTTTTACAACAAATATAGCGATAACCATTTTTGAACATAATAAAATTTTCTATATTTTATATCTGAAACTTTTTTTTTGTAAACTTGTTATTTTTCGAGATAAACGCCACAAAATTTAAAAAAATATGTAGAAAATTTTTAGTCCACACCGTATCGGTTAAGAAATATTTAGCAATAAACCCTTTGTTTCGTTGTACCTCCAAAAAATCAATGTTAAAAAAGAAATTAATAACTTTATGCGTAAGCCGCTATTTTGTTAAATAACTCAAAAACGGTTCGTTTTACAACAAATATAGCAATAACCATTTTTGAAGATAATAAAATTTTCTATCTGAAACTTTTTTTGTTAAATTTGTATTTTTCGAGATACAACGCGTCAAGTTTAAAAATTAAAACATTTCATTTTTAGTTCACACTGTATCGGTTAAAAATAAACCCCCCGTTTCGTTGTACTTCAAAAAAATATTAATGTTAAAAAAGAAAATAATAAATTTATGCATAAGTCGCTATTTTGTTAAATAACTCAAAAACGGTTCGTTTTACAACAAATATAGCGATAACCATTTTTGAAGATAATAAAATTTTCTATATTTTATATTTGAAACTTTTTTTTGTAAAATTGCTATTTTTCGAGATAAATGCCTCAAAATTTAAAAAAATATGTAGAAAATTTTTAGTCTATACTGTATTGGTTAAGAAATATTTAACAATAAACCCTCTGTTTCTTTTTCAAAAAATATCAATGTAAAAAAGAAATTAATAAATTTATTCTATAGCCGCTATTTTGTTAAATAACTCAAAAACGGTTCGTTTTACAACAAATATAGTGATAACCATTTTTGAAGATAATAAAATTTCCTATCTTTTGTATCCGAAACTTTTTTTTGTTAAATTTGTATTTTTCGAGATAAAACGCGTCAAAGTTTAAAAAATATATAGATTTTATTTTTAGTCCACACTGTATCGGTTAAAAAATATTTAGCAATAAAAACCCTCTGTTACGTTGTTCCCAGAAAATATCAATGTTAAAAAAAAAATTAAATGTAAGCATAAGCCGTTATTTTGCTAAATAACTCAGAAATGTTCGTTTTACAACAAAAATAGCGATAACCTTTTTTGTAGATAATAAAATTTCCTATCTTTTATATCCGAAACTTTTTGTAAAATTGCTATTTTTCGAGATATATCACAAAAAAAGACCTGAAAATTTTTATGATCTACAAAAATGTTTTTTTTTTGTACTTTTGTCATGAATGAACCTTTCGAGATTTACTGATCAAAACGATTCTCAAAATCTAAACTTCCTTAGTTTTGGCGCCTTCACTACAAATATTGTTTATATTTTCCAGGAGCAAAAGCATGAGCATGTCTCCTGAAAAGCAAATCGACGCCTATGGGGCTACAAGAAAGAGCATTCACGATAAGCCGTTCGTTAGTCCAAGAGTTGGAGATTGGATTGAAGAACAAGCAACTTTAAAGCAAAAAGCGACTAAAACAGGCAAAAATAAGACCGCTACACCCAAATCTCCACTAGAAGCAGTCACTGTTGAAGAATCAACGCCTACTACCCGAAAACGTAAGGCAAAAGAAGTGGAGGAATCTTTGCCCAAAAAGATTAGAGGTGTCACTGAAAAGATTGCAGAATTAGAGAAAGAAGAAACCGAAAAATCTGCTACCCCAAAAACAGAAGAAATTTCTTCAATCGATAACAAGAATGAGTCTAAACAAATAAAAACGATCAAAAAGAAGGTTACTTATACAGAAGAAATTACTTATTTCCAAATAAGTCCAGTTGGTAAATCTAAAAAAGTCAACGAAGAAGTAATAAGCAAGCAGCCTGCTAGGTCTAAAAGAGCCAAAAAAGATGAGGCAGAAATAGACATAGAAGAATCGACAGAAAGTCTAAAAAAACCTGCAACCAAATCAACAAGAGGTAGAAAAACTGTACAGAAAGAAGAAAGCGAGTTACCTCCTAACAAATCTAAAAAAGGCATAGATATTGATGAATCGCCCATTAAAACTACAGATAATCCAAAAAAATCTACAAGAGTCATACAGAAAGACATAGATATAGAAGAACCTATCAAAACCATAGACAATCCAAAAAAACCTGTCTCTAAATCTACAAGAGGCAAAAAAGCTTTACAGAAAGATGAAGAAAGTGAGTTACCTTCCAGCAGATTTATAACAGTAGTAGATGTAGAAGAGTCCCCTATTCAAGCTGCAGAAAGTCTGAAAAAAACTGTCACCAAATCTACAAGAGGCAAAAAAGCTGTACAAAAAGATGAAGAAACTGAATTACCTTCCAGTAGATCTAGAAGAGGCAAAAACGTAGTCAAACTACTAGAAGATGCTGAAGATATCCAAGAGCAAAAGCCTACTCCTACTACTAGATCCAAAAGAGGTCAAAAACGGGAGCCTTCTGAAGAAGCTGAGCAAAAGAAGCCTCAAAGAGACAAAGAAGAAGAGAAAGAACTCAAAGTATCTTCAAGTAGATCTAGAAAAGGCAAAACCGACGAAAAACCCAAGGAAGCAACTGTTGTTGAAGCGCCTAAACCTAAAAGAGGTAGACAAAAAAAATCCAAAAAAGTTGTAGAAGAAGATGCTTCCGAAGGAGACGAGGAAAAGATCGACGAAATTGTGCCGGTAAAGGCCGCTTCTAGAGCTAGAAGAGGTGCAAAGAAAGATGCTGCTTCAGCAGACAGTGATCATACGGAAGATATAAAAGAGGCGATACCTCAAAGATCTAGACGTGGCAAAAAGGAAGTTATCCAAGATGAAGAAGAGGCTACACCAGTTCTTGCGAAATCTAGAAGGGGCAAGAAACAGATCGCTGATGAAACAGAAGAAACTCCGAAGCCTATTAAAGGCAAAGGTGGCAAAAAAGAGGACCAATTAGTGCAAGAAACTCCGACAAAACAATCTAAAATAGTTAAAAAGGGAAAAACGCCAGAAAAAAAAGAGGCTGTTGAAGAAGAAGAAGAAGTGCAGATAGAAGTTCCTTTGAGATCTAGAAGAGGCAAAGAGACAGTCGAAGAAGACCTGAAAGTAAAAGTTCCTGTGAAATCTAAAAGGGGTAAGAAGCAGACTGTTGATGAAGCGGAAGAAACTCCGAAGCCTATTAAAGGCAAGAGTGGCAAAAAAGAAGACCTTTTAGTGGAACAAACGCCGACCAAACAATCTAAAAGAGTTAAAAAGGGAAAAACTCCAGAAATAGAAGATGCTATTGAAGAAGTACAGATAGTTCTTTCGAAATCTAAAAGGGGCAAGAAAGTCGCCGTTGCGGAGGTAGAAGAACCAGCTGCAGAAGAAAAGCCAACTAGATCGAAAAGGGGGAAGAAGGAAGAATCTGAAGAAATCAATAGCACTCCTTTAAAAACGAAAAAAGGACAAAAAGAGACTAAGAAAGACATTTCGGAAAATGTAGAAGAAACTGTCCCATCTAGATCGAAAAGAGGCAGAAAAGATGTCATTTCTGAAGAAACGGAAGAAACGGAAAAGCTTTTTAGCAGAGCTAAAAGAGCCAAAAAGGAAGAAGCCGTGCCCGAGAAAAAAGTACCCGTGAAACGAGGTGGAAAGAAGCAAGAATTGTTGGACAAAAAGAAGAAAATCGCAGATAAGTTAGAGGTTGCGGTCGACACGCCTACTAGACCGCGAAGGGGTTGTCGAAAATAGGTTCTTTTTTAAGGTGTGCCTGTGTTTGTATATAATATGTTTTTACGTTTATTGAAGAAAAAAGAGTAAATGTACAAAAATAATTTTATATAATTTTATTAATTAGAAATTTTTTAAGGCTCTTAAAAGATGCTTTTTTAAAGGATTTTCTTTTGCTAAATCCAATGGATTGGATTTCTTTGAAGTTCTTTTGGATTTATATTTTTAATATTTGAAAAAAATTTTAAGCTTTATAATATATGCATATTTTAAGAATATTTTTTGTTTTATTACTAATTCCTGTACCTGAACAGAAACTGGATTGCATACAGGTAACGTTCGACAAATATAAATTAATTTCTAATATATCAAAAATATGTAGGTCTGATTTTTCTTTTAAATTCTGTATACAGGGTGGTTCAAAAGCGATACTAGCGCTAGTTGAGGATAATTTTTGTATTTTAGGGCGATATTTTGTAATTTTGGCGTAATAAATATACATTTTTATTTATTTATTTAAAAAAAAAATAGCTAAAAGCAATACAATGAGCAAGCAAGCGGAGTTGCTGTTCGATGCCTGCAGTAAAATAAAGGTTTCGCCACCCATGTATATTAGCCTTAGTTTCGTTTTATGTTCTTTTTTGTTATTTGTTGATTGTCAATAAGTTTTAATTAATGTCACGTCATGTTTTGTATGATATAATAAAGTATATTATTTCCACAATCGTTTATATACAGTCCATTTAATCGAGCTCAGCCCGCAGCGGCACATTTTATGGTCCAGATCGAACCGGATATAACCAACCTCAAGAAGGAAAAAGGTCAGTGCATAACATCAGTAACTTGAACAGGCCTCTACGTCCGTTTATTTCATATTATTCGCGTTTTAGTAATTAATTGATATTCCTTTTGTTTAGTTTTTATTAAAATGTCCCCAACTCCTAAAGAAGAAAAGATATCAGATCTTAAGCACGTTAGAGGTACGCTGAAAGGTCATTTTACGCGTTTCGAAAAATTTCTAAACAAAGCAGAAAATGCTACTAAATTCGCAGACATTCAAATTCGCTTAGACAGAATGAAAAAATATCTCGACCAGTATGATACTGTTCAAAAAGAATATGAATTTCTAAACTCCGAAGAAAAAAAAACGATTCGTCAAAACACCACAACTAAAAACTACGTATAATTCCTGCGAGAAAACCATCACCCTGTCATTTTACCTAAAATTCACAAACTCACGGACCTTATTATCAAGCACGAACACATAAAAATTTACACATGGACACACATAATTTGTTATCTGTTTTACGTTTATGTTACTGGCTCATTGATGGTAAAAATACAGTCAAAGGAATTCTTCAGTCAAGTATTACGTGTTTTAAGGTTAATCCTAAACAAGCTTCTTTTCTAATGGGAAATTCGCCAATCCCACGCCCATTCTTCAAATGCGGCGTTGATTATATATGTATTTTTGTGTGTCTGTCAACTCATTCCGTAAACTTAGATCTAGCTAAAGATTTGACTACTAAACGTTTTTTGAATGAATTGAATGTAGTAAAGTCCGCGAAATTTCATATACGCGTCGCTTAACGCTTCACTTCGGTATAAAAATATGTACACCGCGCTCGTGCAAATAGAGGCCTGTCTCAACTCCAGACCGCTGTGCTCCATATCAACTGACCCTAACGACCTAATCTCCCTAATACCTGCTCATTTCCTGGTGGGATAATCATGGAGGGGATTGCCAGAAAAAGATGTCAAAGATATACCAGTCAACCGGCTCAAGCATTATGAGCAACTTATCCAGTTAATCAGCACTTTTGGGCACGTTGTTCCAGAGAATATCTCACGAGTTGCACATCCGAAGAAAATGGAAATCTCAGGGAGATAAACAGCCACATGCAGGAAGTCTAGTCGTTCTCATAGAGGACATCACACCTCCATTAAGATGGCCTATGACAAGAATAACCCAACTTCATCCAGGTAGTGATGGCATAACACGTGTGGTGTCAGTTCGACTAGCGAATGGACAAATTTACAAACGCTCGCTGGTTAAAGTTTGTATACTGCCGATAGACTGATTTTTGAAAGCGGAGCTTTCAAGGGGGGCGGCCATGTTCGATGCCTGCAGTAAAATAAAGGTTTCGCCACCCATGTATATTAGCCTTAGTTTCGTTTTATGTTCTTTTTTGTTATTTGTTGATTGTCAATAAGTTTTAATTAATGTCACGTCATGTTTTGTATGATATAATAAAGTATATTATTTCCACAATCGTTTATATACAGTCCATTTAATCGAGCTCAGCCCGAAGCGGCACAGTTGCTGTGTTGTAAATTTACTAACAACAAAAAACTGTATTTTATAAATGTTCAGTAGCAAAATGGAAATTATATTGAAGAAACAAACATCTATAATTGCAGTAAGAAGGGAAAAGTAATTACAAACCTTTATTTTTGTAACGAGAATCTAGTACCTATTGAAAATATTACACATCAGAAAACTGAAAGGTTTCATATTTTTAAATTATTAATATTTTACGATGTTCTTAAATTCCTTAAGTACATATTCAAAATCGAAATATTTCTGCCTTTGATTCTGATTATTGTCTGTATCTGGAATGCAATTTTGTGAGTGACTAATTGAAAAACGGATATTTAATAATTATTTCTGTTTTCTTTCGAACTAAAAATGACGAAAACAAGTACAAATTGCTATTTATTGGGATTAAATTTTGAATACACGTTTGATATTAACCTTCGACTTTCGTAGGCAACTTTTCATACACTTTCTCGTAAATAGTGTTGCCTAATTACAATACCTGTTCTGTGCACGTTTTAATAATTTTTTTTGTACTTGACCTTCAACTTTCGTAGGCAACTTTTCATACACTCTCGTAAATAGTGTTGCCTAATTACCTGCTCTGTGCACATGTTTTAATTTTTTTTTTGTACTTAGTTTTCTTTAGCTACAACAATAAAAATTTAATAATAAATGAATCTTTTCACTTGTTTTATAAATCAATATACTTTTATTAAAAGCATAAAATACTCGATCCATTTTAATACACACATCTCCAAAAGTCTTGGCCCCCTGGGTATTTTTAAAAATAATCAAATTAAATTTGGAAAATATGGTGAATCTTATTCTGTTTTAAAACCAAACTATGGGATACACAATTTTTGTAATTTGCATTCCGAATAATGCAGAATAAAGGAAATTAACAAAAAAAGATCAAAAAATTGTAACACCATACACACACACACACCACACACACACACACACACACACACACACACACACACACACACACACACACACACACACACACACATACACACACACATACACACACACACACACACACACACACACACACACACACACACACACACACACACACACACACACACACACACACACACAAAATTAACAAAAAAAGGTCAAAAAATTGTAACACCATACACACCACGCACACACACCACACACACACATCCCGAAAATAGTCAAAACGGATTCAGGGGACCCCAAAACGTAAAAATCTGTCGAAAACTGAAGGTCGAAAAAAATCATGATTCCTATACTTTCCTTATCTGTATACAGAGAGGAAAGTAAAAAGTCAATGAAAAAATATTCATCTACATGCTTTTGCAGTTTTTTGCAAAGTATCATCACAATTGAATAAAAAGCACGAAACAATTAATAAAATTTTATTGTATAATCATCACAAAACCAAAAGCAGTTTACAAATCACAATTATTTGAGAATATATTCAAAATAAATACAAAAAAATAAAAACAATTAACATGTCTAAAAATAAGTTGTAAAGCATTAAAAAAGCATTAATATACAAAAAAAGTTATCTGGCAATAGTATTTCTCATCTGAAATACAAAAATAAAACCCTTTCGTTATTCTTTCTCGTTGGAAATGACTTTAGGAACTATTTGACAACCTCTGGACCTTTCGATATCGATGGGCTGTCATAATGTTATCGACGTCATCTGTCAATGTCTCGTAGCGGTCTCAGCGCGATGACACTTCTTTATATTACTAAAAAAATAAAAATAAATAAGTTAATAAAAATTCTAGTGACATAAATTAATTTTTTGTAATTTCATTTTGTTTAATATCAAAAACTACAATGAAAAGGTAATAATGATATGATTTTTAAGCAAATTAGGCTATTATAATGTTTACTCTACAACAAACTCTACATTAGGTACCTATCACAATAGTATCTACGTTTCATTGTCAAAATGTATGACAGCTGTCAAAATATTAAACTTGACAGTTGGCATATATCAAAATTTTGACAACCATCTTTTACAAGTTTACATTATATTTTGACAGCTTTATTCAGTTAAATCAGTACCAAAAAGGTTAGGATAGGGTTAAAGTGATAAAAGTTTTACACATTTAAGTAATTAGTAGGTAGATAAGTTTGGTTATCTAATTTTACTGACAGTTAGAATGACTGATATCGTGTTAAATCAAATACTACTTACGTTAGAAACGACGTTTGGATTTGGTTGAGAATACAATGGAAATTTTACAGTCTAAAGAAAATGTTACAATATTTTTTTTTTTTTTTTGATAATATTTCTAAACGAATAAAGCAGATTTTCCATCGGTTGGTCATAGTAATGACATCTCTATACGTAATAAATTCATTAAAGTACCTTTCTGCTTTATTCGATTAGAAATACGATAGGAAAACAATCTTTGAGAGATACTTATTGTGTGATCTACCTAATGTAGTAAATGTCATGAACATAAGCACGGACAATCTGTGTCTTGCTGCCTGCTTGCATGCATATTGCGACCTCTATTTCTACAAACTGGTACATACGCAGTTGATATTCGATGTGTGACCGTCTCCCTTTGTAGACCTGTAGCGTTGGTGGCGGTCGATCTTGTGCTTTTGTCCTTGTCTGATCGCATCGATGTATTTGGCACTACTGAAATAAGAAAATGTATGTCAATGGCTTAGTTATTTAATAAAAATGGAAGACCAGTTGTTAAAAATACCTTTAACAAAAGATATAAAACAGGCAAAGATAAACTTTTATAAGAAAATGATAAACGAAAACAAGTCTTCATCTAAAAACTTGTGGGAAACCGTTAACAATTTTATGCAATAAATCTAAACCTAAAACAAAAATAAATGAGATACAATTAGAGTCTGGTAAAGTTATAAGGAACAAGTCAGAAATAGTTGAACATTTTAATGAATATTACAGTAATTTGGGAGAAATATATGCAAGAAAGATCAATAAACCAAATGATTATTTTGAAGAGACTTACAAACTGGAAAACACCATGTATCTAAATCCTGTAAATGAGAAAGAGGTAGAATATATTATAAATAGTTTAAAAAACAAAAAATCACCTGGAAATGATGAAATTAAAAGTGAAACTCTTAAAGAAGTTAAAAGATACATTGTATATCCACTTATACATATACTTAATAAACAGAATACTAGATACGGGTTGTTTCCCAGATTATTTAAAACCGGAGGAAGGTTGTATATTAGCCGGAATAAGGACGGTGCTTCCAAATGGACTTTAAAAATTAATGTTTTCTATTTAGGGAACAAACTTAATATGATAATATTAATATTTCGTAAGAATGTTTGTAAAATTTTTTAGTTTTCCTAAAGACCCTAACCTTAGCAACAAGTGGTTGTATCTTAGCAAGAGGAAAGATAAACTTAATATAAAAACCTTTCCCGCAAGATTCGTGACAAAAATCCCAGAGACCGATTTTACAGCGAAAATAACGCGTAAAGTAAAGATACATGAAATTAGTCATTTTATATTTTTTAATATTTTTCTGATCCGAATCTTAATAAACATCTTTTGTATTAAACATTTTGTTGTAGCTGTTATAATAAATGCGTTACAGAGAAAATAAGCACTCCCCTCTCCCTAATGAGAGTCAGGCTATGAGTAACGTCCCGCGCATGGATCTCAATCACAAATTAAAAAAGAAAAATAAAAAAATACGAAGATTAAAAAAATATCTTGTAAAATCTTTATTTTTGTATGTTACTCCAATGGTACGTTTGTGCTTGATGGAATATCTGAAATTGAGAATCAGAATTTTTTAATTCATCCAAGCATTTAATTGCTAATAACAAAAAAATTGGGTATTTTAACAGTTGTTATCCCAGATGGATGTGAGCGTGTCTGGCGAAGACAACGAGAAAGGTTTGCCAGCTGTAATATATCTCCTAAAGTGCCTTTTGGAGGTGGCTCTAAAATGTTTTGGGGAGGAATTTGCTTCGATGCTCGTATGGAGTTGGTCCCTATACGTACGAGGTCTCTGAATGCCCAATATTACTTAGACAATATTATTGCCGAACATGTAATGCCTTTTGCTCCGTTGGTTGGGCCCAATTTTTTATTCATGCAGGACAACGCTCGTCTCCATGTGGCTAGCCAGATTATTGGTTATTTACATGATGTTAATATTCCTTTATTAGAGTGGCAACCTAACAGTCCGGATATGAATCCTATAGAACATCTATGGGACTATCTCAAAAAGAGGATGTCATAGATCCCCTGTTTCTAATCACAACCAACTCATAGAGGTCGCTATTGAAGAATGGGAGAATATACCACAAGCTTTTGTTGAACATTTGATATCAAGCATGCCGCGACTCACGAATGCAGTGATAAGAAGTAGAGGAGGGCCTACGCGGTATTAGGGTTCACCCAGATGCATTTATTCTCTTTTACTGATTTTTTTTCTTTTTTCTATTTGGAGTTATGCTAGCTTATTTATGCATTTCAAGCAAAAACAAATTTTTAAGGAAAAAATAAGGCAAATTAAGGTCATGTAAAGGTCATATTCGACTAATTTTTAGGTGTTCATCATTATTTCAATGTAACTTAGTTTTATGTTGTGTTTATATTGTAAATATTTAGATTAATTAAAGTGGTGCGTTAATTTTGTCCAGGAGTTTATTTAAAAAAAAAAAAAATGCAAAATGCAAACCCTCCCAAATACGACTAAATTGCTATTTACTATTTAAAAATTGTCAATTTATGAAGTTATTTTTTTATTACAAAAAGGAGGTAATTTTTCCCATTTTTTTTTCTAAATTACCCCTTTTTAAAATATTTTTTTTTATCAAAAATTATTATTTTATTAGAAAAATAAGGTGCGAAAAAGATGTAATCGATCCCCGCCTATTTAAATTTTCCCATACAATTTTCATCACCCCCCAATCACTTTTTTGGTTTGCCTATTTCTATTATATAAGAATAAAAATGTTAAAATTTTATAGTACCATGTTAGTAACAGTATAACAGTAATAAAATTGACAAAAAAAATTAATGAGTCGCTTCCCCCTTTTATTCTCTTTTTTTAATGTCAATTTTATTAATCAAAATGATCGAAATATCGATTAGTCGAAATGATCGATTAATTAAAATAATCGATTAATCGAAATAATCTAAATAATTGATTAATCGAAAATAATCTAAATTGTCGATTAATCGTAAATTACAAATTAAAAGAAAATAATCGATTGATCGAAAATAATCGATTATCGATTTTCAAAAAAAAAAAAAAAAAAAAAAATCGTTTAATCGATTAATATTCGTTTGGCTTAACCTTCGCTTAGCTGAAATCAGTTGTGAGAAGTTTTCTCAATTGATTAGAAATACTCTCACTTGTGATGTTACTGGGTATGCTCGGGCGCCAGTTTGTTTTAGAGTGGTTTGCTCCACTTTACCTGTTGGAACAAGTTTCAAGAAGGGCTGCAGGTAGCTGTAGTGAAGAAAGAAAATTCCAGAGGGTCAACGATATTCTAGTAGTTACATAGTACCTATCGGAAAAGTATACAACGGAAAGCTCGGACTGCCTATCTCTGAAATCAACTATTCGCGGCCATCAGCTAAAATTGAATGAATCTCCGCGATTTTTGACTGGCTCATTTTCTGCCGGTCTTCGCGTCGATTTCAAAGACGGTAGTGAGGATGCGATAGGTTCATAGCAACAAGAGATTTAACATAAAATCGAAAATTATTTGCAAATCGCGGGAATTTCCAGTTAATTAAACATAGGAATGCATTTTTAATTCAATACACAGTTATGCAGAAACTGTTGTCATGACAACAATTGTGGTGGCAATGACTAAACAAAAACTCAAATCCTATGGCGAGGAAATGTGTAGTTGTCAAGTTAATTTAACTTTAGTTTAGCTGTAGTCAGTTATAAGTAAACTGTTGCCATGTGAACCTTTATAATGGCAACCACTAAACAAAAACGCTTGTCATGGTAACAACCATACAAACATCCAAATCCCGTGGTGAGTAAATGCGTATTTGGGCACCTCAAAATAGATAATATTCTCCTTAAAAAGATCTTTCAATTTGTATATAACTTATCCTTATTGGAGGTAGGGTAATTTCCCATACATTTCTGCCCATTTTGACATAAATTATTTTGAAAACTATTCCCAAGTTAGTCATTTTTGACTTTTTTCTAATGCTGATCCTTGTGTAGATGAAATTTTGAGGATTACGAATGTCACTGAATGTAATTAGCTTGCATTTGCAAAGATTAAAAAGTAATTTAATTTCTAAGATGAATCCAAAATTGAGTCTGTCATTTTGAAGATCTAGATTCTAGATCTTCTATTTTCTTAAAAGCTTTTAAATCACATGTATACATAAGGCAGTCTGATGTAATACGTACAATGTACATTGACAAATATTAAGAAAAGTTGAGGGCCTAAATTGGAGCCTTGAGGGACGGACCTGCGAGGATTGTATGAAACACTTCACAAACATTACGTATTAAGACCTCAGTTTTAGAAAAGACAAAGAGACATTTAGTAGGTAATCGCTTAGATTGTAATATTTCAGTTTAGCTAGGAGAATATTGTGATTTATCTTATTGAAGGTTTTTGTCAAATCAGAAATTTTATTACTAAAAGTTAATACATTTATATCTACAGGTCTACGTACGAGCTAGGTAATGTTTAGATTTCCCATTATATTCTTTGAAAGACAATGTTCAATGAGACAGAAAATTTCTAGTTTGGGGATGATGAACAAATTAGAACTAAATAGACTTGCGTACGTACATACCTTTGTTATTTTCTTTCTTCTGTTGTGGTTTCCGCCTCAAATCCTCGTTTTTATGCTTTATCCTATCCCTGGCTGTTTTTTCTGACGTACTCCTTATTGTAGAAACGGCCGTTTTATGTCGAATCTCAGGCAAACTATTTAAAATCCTGTTAAATATAAATAAAATTATGAAAAATTTAATCTAAAACAAAGTTAATACTACCTTTCTTCGCCTTTACTACTACTGTCTTCCTTTTTCTTCGCTACTCCAGCTTGGGTGGGTTTCTTTAATTCCAAACCATTAGACATGGTGAGCTGCACCGCTTTGGTCTTCTTGATCAACCTCGGTTTCCTCGGAAGTTCAATTTTGGCCGGCAAATCTTCAGACGAGGAACCATTCGAACGAAGCAAAGCTTCTCTGCTACTCGCCCTCTGCAGTCTTCTAGCTTTGGTCGCGGAAGATTTCACATTCATATTATTACTCGTCGAATTGTGATCGACTTTTGTAGTAACTTGTTCGGCTTTTTCGGCTCTTCTTCGGTGTTTCTCGTAACAGGGTTTCGTTTTCGGATCGGGGGTGGTTTTTTTGTGGTTCAAACTTTCGGTCGAAGAGGATTGGTATGCTGATTTCAGCCGGGATTTGGTTCTATTCGGTGCGATGTGGGAATTGGTGGGTTTTTGGTGGAGCGATTTAGTTTCTAGAATGGTTTCTAGTTTTTTGATTTTGGATGAGTCTTCTTCGTCAGAGGTCAATCTGAAATTCGTTAATATTCTATTATATTCTTTTAATTTATATGTGCAATCGATTCTTACCTATTATGAATCTCTTCGTCAGTATATCCATTAACAGCTTGCAGAATTTGATCAGCTGCTTTGGTAAGTTCGTCTAAAATACTACTGTCAAACTCTCTACCGTATTTGTTTTTAATATTTTCATAAATAGGCTCTTCTTTAGGTTTCTCAGGCGATTTTTGTCTGGCTCTTGTTGGAGATGGAGAAGATGGTTTCAATCTCCTTGAAGATAACGGACTTTTTATCCTCCTCGGCGATACGGGACTTTTCAGACGTCTAATCGGGGACGGGGATTTTTTATGGGTTTGTATGAGATCGGGTTTTTCTGGAGAAAGTTTGTTTTCTTTGCGAATCACAGCCTGGGATATTTTCTTGACAGGTTTAGGGGATACTTTGACACCGAAGTAAGTCATTTCTGACTTTTTCGGTTGCCTTAAAACCATACCTAAAAAGTATTTTAGTACAACACATCTTAGATTAAAAACCCACTATTATTTCAAACAAAGTAACCAAGATAGGATCTTGACAAGAGCTCTATTCAGTTTCACTATTGCTATTTTTTCTTCTTGCCTTAATCCAACATTGAAAGGTAAAAGAAAACTTGATAGAACTCTTACCAAGATCCTCCTTTGATTCTTTTTATCTACTACTTACCATCTGAACTAAATTTTGTAGCAATCTTCTCCACATTATCACTTTTGAAATTATCTACAATCGTTTCTTCGCTATGCCTAGCCACTTCTATTCGATTCGTCTTCGTTACTATCGATGGACTAGAAAGTTTTTCTGACGCCTTCAAATCGGGCCTCGAGAGTTGGTCTGACGGTTTCAAATCCTGCCGTCCGAGCGGCGTTTTCTTGGCGCTACTTTGCGATAGGAGCGGTTTGGAAAGTGGATCTGACGGTTTTAAATCCGGTCGTCTAAGGGATGTTTTTCTTGTAGGACTCGGTGATCGAGTGGGGCGTATAATGTTTATGGAGATGTGTTTTTTGGGAGGTTCGTGAGTGTGGTTAATAAGCGGCGATGTTTCGTTGTGAAGTCTTTCGGAGTAGTCTGGAATAGTGGGAAATTGTGGTAATAAACAAGTCATTTCTGCCCATAAAGGGTGTTTCAAGATAAATCCGACATAATTCAATAGACGTAAGTAAAAGTTAAAAAAAAATCAAACTAATTTATGTTTTTTATATAACAAGCATTTATGTATTTTGTTTAACTTTTATTCCTTATATTGTAGGTACTCGCTATGAAATTAAAAAATCTTGAAATGTCCTGTATATAAATATAAAAGCTATCAAACGATAGGTAGACGCTATCTATATCTGACAAACCAAAGTACGAATTTTGTTAAAAATGGGTAGTTAGGGGCAAAGTCGAGATGAGCAGGTAGTTTTTTTATGGGTCGAATTGGCTCCCATCATAGGTCGAGTTGTCTCCCAAGCTAATGTACATTAAAGGGTATTAATTTTCACAAATTACACCATTGTTGCCAAATCCAAATTTGTGTTTTTAAAAGTGCGTTGAATTATTGATACCTTTTTACTTTCCTATCTGTATACAGTTATAAGGAAAGTATAAGAATCATGATTTTTTTTTTGTAAAATGTCTCTCAGGGTATATGAACCATTTAACTACGTTGAAATAGAACAGTAAGAAAATAATCCTTAGATTTATTTATTTCTAATTATAACCTGCATTTACACCTCAAATATTCATTAATAAATATTTATGGCAACTGCATTTAAATCTATTTTTAATCTTAAACGTTAAAAGTAATTTATATTTACATTAATATCATATTAATTTAATCCATTAACATATTTCAAATTCAGAAATAGATACCTGCTTTCCCTCCTTCGTCTTATAAAGGGAGGTATTAAAAATAGTTAACCATATTTCATATATTCTTCACAAGTTTCAGAGATTGTAAATTTTGTTTAAACCAAAGTTGTAAAATAATTAAAAGTGTGTACAGTGTTGGACCGTTTTGAAGTGATAGATAGAATCTTGTTTAAACCACAACCATGGGAAATTATCAGAAGAACTTATAAATAGGCAGACTCTAAGCAATGTTGTAAAAATTAAAGCAATAGAAGATATTTCGGCAAAACCAATGGGCTTGTTTAGAACAGAGGTATGAGAATTCCACTGTAAAACTATTATCACTCATGACGTTGAAAGGATGAGAAAAAATATGTATACTGCTAGATCTAAAATTGCACTTAAACTTCCAATTGATATAGTTGAATTTCATAGTTTATTAAATTTTGTTACATTAAAAACTAATAGGGACGAATATTTTCTTCTTAAAAATGATGAAATAAATAAAATAGTCATATTTTCATGTAAAACTAATCTTTATGCTGTAGAACAGTGATACTCAAAGTGTGCTCAGCGGAGTCCTGGGGCTCCGCAAAGCCTTTGTAAGGGCTCCGCGAAGAAAATAATAGTCATAATAAAAAAAGAAGTAGTACTATAGTACTATGGTCACAAAAGGGAGGGACCTTTTTTTGTTTTTTAGAAGTTAAGAAGAAGGAGGAGGATATGATTTTGTTTGGAGGACTTTTTTTTTTAGAAGTCAGCAAGAGAAAGGAGGATATGATTTTGCTTGGAGGACCTTTGTTTTTGTTTGGGCTCCGCTAAAGAAAATCTAGTTATAATAAAAAAAGGGGTCCATAACGCTTTAGTGTCACAAAAAGTAAGTCACTTAGAAAAAAAATAAAACCATTTTGAATGTGTTAGAGACTAATTCTTTACAAAAAAGTGCGGATTTTTTCAAAATATACCCATTTTTTTCTAAACTCAATTTTTTTATTTTTTGGAACATGAGTGAATTGTTCGCCGAGTTCAGATACGAGTTTTGCAAAAATTTGTCAACACCCAAAAATAACTAGTTTCTATAGTAAATTTTTGCAAAAAAAATAGAAAACCAGCATTTTTCGAGAAAAATTAATGAAAAATTGAAGTGATCTAAAAACATATCCCAGACAGCACACCAAATCCGTTGGATATCTACTGAACATCCCAATATCCACTGAATGTCCAGTCCATGGTGGATATCTATTTTATATCCATGAGCTGTAATTTATAGACATGCAAATGTCCATAAATAATAGTAATTATATAGCAAATTATTAAAAAATTACGCCATTGTGGCTAATAGTACCGTTCAGATATTTAAAATTATTTTTTTTAAGGTGTATTCAATATCCCATGGACATCCACTAAATATATCAAAGTCTAGGCGCGAACGCAAACCATCGTGGATATCCACTAGATGTAATTTTTGATTTTGCTTACTAAGTATAGATGGCGATACTACTTTCGCATCTACTCATGCTCAACCCGCCGTAATTGAGTTCGATCGAAATTTTTTTCACAATCAGACTCCATTAGAGACTGGAGTCAAGAATTTCCATTTATTGCCGAAGAGTCCCAATAAGGATAACTTTCTCCTTAGTGGACAAAATCAAAGGCAGAGTGTTGAAAATATTTTTAGTGTTGAAAATATTTTTTATCTCTGCTATTTTCTTTCGACTTTATTCAATAATCATTGGTTACTTATGAACCTCTACTAAAGATACCTGTAAAATATTTTGCTGAATATCCGAATTCTTCTATTTCCTGGGATATAGACGGACATTTGGTTGGATATCCATATTGGATATCCACAGAATATATTCTGTGGATATCTCTGGGATTTCTTGTATTATCTGGAAGATACTCATTAGATATTTTGCTGGATATCCATATGATATCTTCTATATTCTGGATATCCATATTAGATCCACGGAATATTTCTGATATCCTGTGGATATATTGAATATCCACAAAAGATATTCTGTAGATATCTCTGGGATTTGGTGTGTTGTCTGGGTATATTTTGTTGTTTGGAAAAATGCAGTATGTTTACCTATAGAGAAACAACTTAAAAAATATATTTTTCATCATGAAATGTACCACCCCAAACATTTTTTTCCATATTTGCACAAGAAAACATCACTAACAAAAAAATTGTATATTTGTTCTACTTGAAATATCAAAATAATTAAAAAAATTACGTAACCGAACCCATGTAAAAAATGAATTGAATGTCGCCTGAAATGAAAACATAATTTTTAAAAAAATTCGCTTCCCGGCCAACTGACACAGATCAAAGAATTTATATACTTTTTTTTTAATATTTCCAATAATAAAACTGCTATCGATCAATTACGCACTGATGGGACACCCTGTATATGTGTATATATACACGGTGTTTCCGAACTTGGCGTCCAAATTTGTAGGGGTGATAGTTCGCATAATTTGAGAGCGATTGGCAGATTTCATTTTTCTAAAAAATTGAATAATTTAATTTGAGGCAAAAAAATTAATTGGTTTGGCAACACTGTAATATTTTTTTTTACATTTTTTGGTTGAATACAGTATTAGCAAACAATGCTATAAATAAAATACAGGGTGTTCTATTTATTTATGTGTTAGATTAGATTAGATTTAATTAGGACTATGGGCCATGTGGCCTCCCCCACCTCGACCTTTTTAGATCTATTGTGGATATCCTTTAATCATTGTTTAGAGTACCTTGTCTAATGCGGTCTTTTGTAGTAAACTCCATAGACTGGAAAGTAGTTCTCCGGTATAGCTAGTTGCCCTTGGTTTTTCTTCTCCAAGTGTAAGGAATCTCAGTCTTACTAGACCTTCGCAGTAGCACAATACGTGTTTTGCCGTTTCCTCTTCTTCTTGACAGAATCGGCACAAGGCCTCTTCTGTCAGACCGATATTGAACATATGTTTGTTAAGCCTACAATGCCCTGTTAATAGACCTACTAGTATTCTAGTATTTTTCCTATTAAGGCTTAGTAGATGCTCGGTGAGTTTAGACGATGGTCCTTTTAAGAACTTTTTGGCCTGTCTCTGTCCTGGTGAGTTTTCCCACCACTCCTGAGATTTTTTAAACATCCACTGCTTTGTGCATGTTCTGATAGTTGTTTTTGTTACACCACAGAAGGGTTCTGGGCCAATAAGAGCATTTGATGCTCCTTCTCGGGCTAGTAAATCAGCCTCTTCATTGCCTTTGTGTCCCCTGTGGCCTGGTACCCACGTGTTAATAGCCCTCCCCCAGCTGCTCGGGCTCTTACACGTTGCGGTCCATAAACGCCTGTTTTACGCCCTTGATATATAAATAACTATTAAAAGCGCGCTTATACCAACTCTACACGTGACGTCATGCACGTGGCTGTTTTATTTTTGACACTGTTTTTTACATAAATGTTTAACAAACTTTATCCATTGGTTCGTCAGATATAGATGGTGTCCCCCCCGCCACTGGACAGCCTGTATATATTAGGCATTCCAAACAAAATGGCTACCAGTGGGTTTTGACAGGGCATGATATGGCAACATTATGGGAACCCTGTAAGCCTGGTGATTTGACAAGGTCAACAAAATAGATAATTATTTAGATTGATCATCCATATTTTTCAAAATAAACATAAACTTGTGCCTTGAAGTAAAAATGTAGATAATTATTTTTTTTTTACTATATTGAACGGCTGAAAATTGGTTTGTAAATATATTTTTGCTAAATCGATTCTGAATAATGAGCACTTGCTAGGCAATATGGCACACTCGCAAACTACTTGCTTTCAGCAATCTATATAACTATATATGCACAATTAATCCACATGGTTGCCATATATAGACTGTCAGTTCCCACTTGACAGGTCGTTGGAATGCCTAATAGATTTGAATCAAAAACATATTTATAGCAAACAAAAAGAAAACATAAGTCACAATTTCGATCAAATAAAGTACCTTTTTCTATTCTAGCACCTAATTTAGTTTCCTTGACGTTACTAATGTTCCTGTAGCTTTTCATCTTGCTCCAACTTCCCGAGAGCACGCTACTGCTGTCGTCCGTCATCTTGCTATCATCCGTCACTCTCGACAGCAGGTATTGCACCTCCTTATCGGCATCGCTGTCGCTCAGCACGTCTTCGTACAGTTTCTTCAAGGCTTCTAGTTCTTTAGGAATATTGTCTTTGTTGTCAATCTTGTTGTCAGTCTTATTGTTGATAGTGTTGAGTATGAGCGAGGTGGATTTAAATCTAGATGGTTGCTGGTATTGCTGAGATCGTTGATGCTTGGTGTAGGAGAAGGTTTTTTCCATTTTGGCCGGTGGCGATGGTGACAGATCTATCGTTATTTTCGTCGTGGTCGTCGAATTTTTCGTGTCTTCTGTCGTAGACATTTTGGAACAGATTTTGTGGTTTAGAGCGGAATCTTCTTTACCGATTCTGACTACTAGACTTTTATTGAGAAGTTGTTTGGAGTCTGGAAGTATACGAGCGGTGTAACGTGTATGTTCAAAAATTTAGAAGAGATGTTTTTTCGTATAGATTTCTCAGTTAATGTTATATGTGATAAAAAATGTGGATGTTTAGATCTTAGATCGTCACCAATACGAATTCTAGCCAAAATATCAACATAGTGCCGGATGATTTACGTACAAAGAATGGAAATTGGCATAAAAAATACAAACTATGATATTTATTTTTCCATTCATTACTTTGGAATGTTTTTTTTTTTTTGAAAAATATTCTATACAGTTTCGTTCAAAGATAATTTTTCTTCTACAATTAAATATAAGTATTAATAGTATATCTATATAAGATACAGTCGAGGTGCTGATTGGAAAAACCCAAACGCACGGTTGTCAAACTGTACAAACAAGGTGATCTGATGCATTTTATTATTAACAAGCGACTGATGTTTTTTTTTTGTAAAATTTATCGATGTTACTGCAGAAATAATTTATGCTTGGCATCGTTGCATGTAAAATTGTATTCACTTATTAATTTAATACTTCTTATAGTATTATAGGTACACTTTCAAGAAAGAAAAATTTTTAATATTGGTCTAAATGTATTATTTTTTTTTACCAAAATCCTCATCAAATTTAAACAACTTTTGTCCGTCCATCTGATGTCACGTTTTTGGTCAAAAACGAAAAATGATATCAACTTGAAGATTTCAAGAAAAATCAAGCTCTATAAGGAGACGAAGCTTATTGATTTTGAAAAAAATCTGAATAAAAATAGGGGGCTAAGGGAAGTTGAAATATATAAAAAAAATCCTAGCTCAAAAACGAAAAATTTATATCTACTTAAAATTTTTAGCAAAAATCAAGCTAAGGGAAAGAAGCCATTTGATTTTGAAAAAAATCTAATTAAAAATGGCAATGACGCATCCAGAATTTAAGTCTGGGGGGGTAGTGGTAATAAAGTTTAAGTCTGGGGGGCGGTAGTGATAATATTTTGGATAATAGTACGTTCTACTACCTATAAAATGTTTGGGGGCAATTACCCCCATTACCCCCCCATTAATATGCGCCCCTGAAAAATGGGGGGTTTAAAAGGTGGTTAAAAAAAAATCAAAAACAAAAAGCGATATCAACATGAAATTTTTAGTTAAAATCAAGCTCTATAAGGTGACGAAGCTTATTAATTTTGAAAAAATCTAAATAAAAATGGAAGAGGGGGGTTAAGGGGGCTTGAAATATTAAAAAAATCATAAATTAAAAACGAAAAATGATATTAACTTGCTAATTTGAACAAAAATCAAGCTAAGGAGTAGAAGCCGTTTAATTTTGAATAAAAATGGGGGAGGGGGTTAAGGGGGATTGAAGGATTAAAAAAAGGCATAAATTAAAAACTAAAAGCGATATCAACATGGATTTTTTAGTAAAAATCAATCTATAAGGGTACGAAGCTTATTGATTAAAAAAAAAACTAATTCAAAATGGGGGATGAGGGTTAAGCGAGCTTGAAATATTAAAAAATATCCCTTCTCAAAAACGAAAATGTTTTATTAACTTTCTATTTTTAACAAAAAAGATAAGGGTAAGAAGCCATTTAATTTTGAATAAAAATAGGAAAGGGGGTCAAGGGGGATTGAAAGATTAAAAAAAATCCTAAAATAAAAATGAGAAGCATGGATTTTTTGGTAAAAATCAAGCCCTATAAGGGTACAAAGCTTACTAATCAAAAACGAAAAATGATATTAACTTGTTATTTTTAACAGAAAACAAGCTAAGAGAAACAAGTTGTTGGATTTTGAAAAATCTGATTAAAAATAAGGGGTTAAAGGCAGGGTTACCAGGTTTTTGAAAGAGGTGACGGACTGACAGGGGATTTTAGGGGAAATAGAGGGAAGTAAAAACAACTCAGTCTATTTTTACTCTTTTAATCAAAATCACTTATTTTGCAAGAAATCCTTACCTAATTTTGGTAAAGATACACTGAGGTGAAAATGTAAAGTTAGAAAATCGAGAAATCGTAAATCGAAATCCAAAGTCAGAAAACATTAACACCTCAGTCTATCTTTACCAAAAAATAGGTACGAATTTTTTACAAAATAAGTAATTTTGATTAAAAAAATGAAAATAGATAGAGTTGTTTTTACTTCCCCCTATTTCCCCTACAATTCCCTGTCTGCCCGTCATCTCTTTCAAAAACCTGGCAACCCTGGTTAAAGGGGAGTTGAACTAAAACCATAAATCAAAAACGAAAAGCGACATCAACAAGAAATTTGGCTGCTGGAAAAAAATACCGCAAATCCCTAACGGAGTACAACAAGGCTATCAGAAAAGCCAAACGAGAATCGTGGAGGAAGTTCTATCAGAGTATATCAGATTTACCTGCAAGTACCAAACTTCACAAGATTCTCGCCAAATATCCGAAAGAGGAAGTCGGCTCGATAAAAAGACCCGACAACACCTATACGGACTCTGGCAGGGAAACTTTAAAGATTCTCCTAGAGAAACACTTCCCAGGCAGTCAAATCCTGGAGGACAGACAACATGTACCTCTTCCTCTAAAGGAATCGATCATCCGACCCAAAAAGGAATACTGGAACTCTGTTGCACAAATTGTCTCTAAAAATGCCGTGAAATGGGCGATGTATTCATTCTCCCCCTTTAAATCACCTGGGGAGGATGGCATTTTTTCGGCCCTTTTCCAAAAAGGACAAGAACTCCTGCTATACCCTTCCTTGTGAGGCTGTTTAGAGCAGCGTGAAGCTATATTCCGTTAGGATGGACGATGGCGAAAGTCGTGTATATACCAGAGTTGGGTCGAATACAGGAAAAAAGTATCCGAGTACCGGATACGGATACTTACAATGTATCCGGATACTTTTTAGGATAATCTCGTTGTTGTCGCGACTTGCCATGTTTATACAACCTTTCGATATTCTCGTCAGTGTCAGATGTATTCGACAATCCATTTTTTGTGAATCCTCCCACGAGAGGTACTTGGAAGAGTCGAAAGCGTCAAAAAGAGGAGTGAGAGATGGCTGAATGTTTCGTTCCGGCATAGGCAAAGCAGGCTCGCATATTTGATCTTATCAGATCTGTATACTTTATTGATGACAGAAAGTTTAGTTATATTCCACTATATAAGACAGGAACAACCGTCTCTTGTCTTTGCCAACTGAAACATAACTGGGCTAATGGAACCTCCACAAGTTCGTGACGCTAACACCGGACAAGGGTTTGCAGGATTTTTCCTGTAAAAACGTGCCCCAAGATGCTGAATCCCGACCGTCTGTATACTGGGTGAATCGCCGAATTCATCCTTCGCGATGAGAATTTTTTTACGTTGTTTTAAATTTTACAGGGTGCACCAAACAAAACTACAAATCATAATAAAATTATTATTTTACTATTTTTTATTTAAGTAGGTACCTATTGCAATAATTGTGTCTTAAATATTGTAATATTGAAACATACGTATTTTATTTCTAATTATACAGGGTAGCTCAAAGTATTTCGATTATAAATTTTAATAGAGATAATATGGATTGGATCAGTTACAATTTGGTAAATAATTTAAAAGTATCCGAATGCCGAAAAAAGTATCCAGTTTCCGGACACTTACAAATTTTGTCACGGATACGGAGTCACGGATACGGATACAGGATACAAAATTTGAAAAGAATCCGGATACAGCTTTCGAATACACATAAAGTATCCGGATACTGTATCCGGATACTGTCCTCAGTCTTTGTTCGCTTCTATTGAAAGAAGAGGAATCGACAAACTAACTTGTAATTGGATCAAAAGCATGCTGGCAAACCGGAACATCACTTCATCACTGCAGGGAGAGACTTGTCACTTTTAGGCCTGCCAGAGGATGTCCACAAGGCGGCGTACTTTCACCCCTACTGTGGATCATTTCGGTGGATAACCTGCTAGACGATCTCTCCCGGCAGGGGGTGGATTTCCAATGATATGCGAACGATCTGGTTATCATAATTAGGGGAAAGTTCGAAGAGGTGATCTCCAACATCCTTCAATAAGCCCTTAATACGATCAACAGATGGTGCGAGAGGGAGCAGATATCTGTTAACCCCCGCAAAACTATTACTGTCCCCTTTACCAAAAGAAGAAAGCTCGACAAGCTTCGACAACCTACCTTGGCTGGGGAAACCATTCCTTTTGCGGAGGAGGTGAAATATCTGGGGATCACCCTAGATAAGAAACTCACCTGGAACCCCCAATTGGACAAAACCATTAACAAAGCCAGATTATCCCTCTGGACCCTTAGAAGGATATGCGGCAAAGCATGGGGGATCAGTTCTCAACTGATCTATTATCAAACAGTGGTAAAACCCATGGTTACGTACGGCTTTGTCGTCTGGTGGGACAAGGGACTTCAACGGACGGCCAGAGCAAATGGCTGGAATACAGCGGCTTGCGTTATGGCTAACTGGAGCAATGACAACCACACCTACGGGAGCCATGGAGACCATGCTGGACCTAACCCCTCTCCACATTCTGCTAGAGAGGGAGGCCAGGATGGTCTCCTACAGACTCCTGAAGATGGGTAGTCAATACTATGAAGAACTGCGATGGGACAAGACGGGGCTGATGAGTAAAATTAATAATCACCCTATCCTCGGCATGGTCTCAGACTCGCTAGTTCCCCGACAGCACATAGAAAAGTCATACAGCGTCCTCATCCGAGAAAGGGAGAAGCATGTGGAGCAGAGGGAAAAAACCCTCTCCCAGGCAGACTATGCGTTGTACACGGACGGCTCCAAATCTGAAAAAGGAGTAGAAGTGGGAGTTTTCGGCCAGAGGCCTAGAGTTGACATATCAATAAACCTAGGCTCTCTGGCCACGATCTTCCAAGCAGAAATTATTGCTATAGAATTGGGAGCGAGATAGTTGATTAATAATCTCCCCGCAAACAAGACTATAAAGATCTTTTCAGATAGCCAGGCAGCCCTTAAGGCCTTGAGCTCCAATCAAGTTGACTCAAAGCTGGTTTGAAACTGTATAAATACGCTTGAACGTCTCGGTGCTCGGAACAAAGTTACTTTGATCTAGGTTCCGGGGCACAGTGGTGTGGATGACAACGTAAAAGCCGACGCACTTGCTAAAAGAGGAACCGAATCTGTGTTCATAGGACCAGAACCATTCCTGGGCATTGCAAAAAGCACTGCCAAAGGAATTATCTCAAAATGGACGGAGGATGCAACACTCATGAATTGGAGAAATACCCCAGAGCTAAACTCATTCGAAGGCGTTTGTAACCAACCCTTCTATGAACGCCTCTGCTTAGATCCCAAAATGGAGTAGGAAAGGTCTACGCATTTTCACTGGACTGATGACAGGACACTGCCGTCTGGGCAACCGCATGAGAAGGATAAGTCTGCAACAAACATCAAACTGTCGATTCTGCAGCGTGGAGGACGAGTCTTCAGAGCACATTTTATGTACCTGCTCCGCTCTGGAAAGAACCAGGTTCCAGATCTTCGGATTTACCCGACTGGAGCCTACCGACTTTAAACAAGTCTCACCCAATTCAACCATGACCTTCATCAAAAGGTGTGGCTTGTACGGTGAACTATAAGTTAGTCATAAGCCACAATAGACCCATCTGGGTCGCAGTGGAAGGCGATGAGATCATCCCACTCATTTTCAACCTAACCTAACCTACAAACAACTCAAGAAAATGCTGTTTAAACAATAACCTTCATAATATGCAACTTTGATTTTAAATATTCAATGTAATTTTTAGGTACTGATAGCACTTTCTTTCCTTTTAAGATATGTACGATCATAATGCGCTAGTTCAGTGTGATGTCATTTTGGTTCCACTGACAATCAAATTTTTTACAAAAACATCAATAAATTTGACATATACGTATTTACGGTTTTTAGTTTATTTCTAAATATTGTTTACAGGTCATAAAAAATAGTTTAAAGGTATGTAATTGGTAACTAAACGATTGTATATTTGATGCATATTATCTACTTACTTTAGGAATATATTTATAAAAGTGAAAAACGATATAATTTAGGTAAACAAAACGAACAAAACGCACTCAAAAAATCTACTGTCACTTTAATTGTCAGTGGAACCATAATTACATCATCACTGAACTAGCGTATAATAAACTAAATAGTAACATTAAATTAAAGTTCGATCCTGGACCTATCTGGATTCTGGATCATTCGTTTAGTGGACGTTGCTAAAAAAGTAAAACAATCTTTGAACAAAACTGTACATTTTCAATATAAAAAATAATAACCTTTTTTTTGTCTAAAACTCATTTTTGCAATATTATTTTTTAATACTAACCCCCGCACTATGAACCTTCTGACACAGATTTATAGTCAGAGGGCTTGTCACATTTTTATCACGAATATAACAAATATCTGTAAAATCCATGTAAAATCCTTAAATAAATGATGATAATTGGTTTTTATATGAATATCGTTAAACCAAACTACTTCAATATCTACTAAATCATGCACAACAATAGAAAAAGGTACTACAAAAGAAAGAAAATAGATCTACTTATAACTACTTATTAATAATATATTATTTATTATATAATGATGAAAATAAAGAGTATTTTTACATCAGGATACATTGTACGTCATATTTGAAATTTTTCTTAGTTATTATATACAGTATTTCTCTATATTTTAATTGTTAGTATCGTAAAATTATTCTTACGACTATAAATATAACTACTAGAAAAATTAGTGCCTACGAATTACAGAGCATGCAATTAATTAAGATATACTATCATACAGGGCAAATCCATAAATTTGATCAGTTCAAATAATTTAACTGGTATCAAGAAAATTCCCCGACAACAATTCTCTGACGAAATATTCCCCGACAACAATTCCCCGACTGGAAAATTCCTCGACAATACATTACATTTCACCACAAAAAAATATTCCCTTGGAAAATGCTAAAATCTATCATATCAAATGTCATCAAATTTTAAGATTTTAGATTGTCAAATATTGAAGAATTGAATATATAGAAATAGTACTACAAATGAAATTTTTAGAAACTACTACTATTTTTTTTATAAAGACAATTAATTTGATCTTGCAATTATATTTATAATGCAAATTGAAGGTGTTTTATAAATACCTAAATAAAGTCAAGGGGCTGAAACAAGGTCTTTTATAAACACTTAGCTAAATATAGGTCATTAAAATTGTAGATTGTTGAAATTTTAAATGGTATAAAAGAATTTTTCCCATCGGGGAATGTTCCAATTGGGGAATTGTTGTCGGGGAATTTGCCTAGACCCAATTTAACTTATTCATTAACTCACCATTCCTTAGATTCTCAATTCTAGGCGTAATAGTCTGCTCATCGAAACTTTCGTTTTCGAGTACGGTAGCTTCGCCTTCTCGCAGACAAATTTTGGTGGAGTACCCCCTATGTTCCGCCCCTTTATAAGGTTCTTCTGGGCCAGACCAGGAGGATGAGGTTCTGCTTTTCTCGAACAGTTTCGACGATTCGGAGTCGCTGGCGTAGTCGCTTTTCCGAGTCGGTCGCAGGTTTTTCAGGAGTTTCTGGAATTCGGGTTCGTTTTCTTTGTCGTGCTGGAAAAAGGAAACGAGTGGTACAGTGTTTTTCATAATTTAGAATTTGTGGATAATTTATTAGAATATGAAAGATTTATATGTTTATATAACTATTGATAAAATAAATAAATAGATAGTTTTTAGATATTTCATTTAAAATTCAGTCATTAATCATTTTTAAATAAAGAAATTATAGCAAGGGTACTAAGTAAATTGGTGTGGGCAAAATAATTGATTAAGCGATTATTAATCGATTAGTCGATCTTTTTTAAATCGATAATTTTCGATTAATCAATTACATTACATTAGATTATTTTCGATTATTCCGTCGATTTTTCCGAGTTCCAAGTAGGAATAATCGATTTTTCTGAGTTCAAAGTTGAAATTATCGATTTTTCGGAGTTCTAAGTCGCAAGAATCTGTTTTTCCAAACTCTAAGTCGGATTAATCTTTCTTCCAGGTTCTAGGTAAAAAAAATAATTTTTCAGTAAGAAAAATCGATTTTCCCGAGTTCTACGTCGGAATGATCTATTTTTCCGAGATGTAAATCAAAAAAATCGATTTTCCTAGTTCTAAAACGAAATACTCTATTTTCCGAGTTCTAAGTAAGAATAATCTATTTTTCCTATTTATAAGTCGCAAAAATCGATTTTTCCTAATGGTAAGTCAGAAAAATTGATTTTTTTAAGTTCCAAGTCGAAATAATCCATTTTTCCGAGTTATGAATCAAAAAAAAAAAATGTTTTCGGGTTCTAAATCAAAATAATCTATTTTATAAGTTCTAAGTTGAAATAATCTATTTATCGGGTCGATGGTGTAGCGGTCTATCGCGCTTATATTCATTTATAGGCGAGTTTATGAGTCCGAGACTGCTGGGCTTCGAATCCCTGACCAGACCATGTGGATTTTTAATTAAATTTTTCCTAATTATAAGTCGAAAAATTCTACTTTTTCGAGGTTCTAAGTCGGAATAATCTATTTTTCCCAGTAGTAAGTCAGAAATATCGTTTTTTCTTTTCACGTTCTAAGTCGGAAAAATCTATTTTTTCGAGTTCTAAGTCGAAATAATTTATTTTTCCAAGCTATGAATCAGAAAAAAGAAATAATTCCGAATTCTAAATCGAAATAATCTATTTTACAAGTTCTAAGTTGAAATAATCTATTTTTCTTAGTTATAAATTAGAAAAATCGATTTTTTGAAGTTCTAAGTTGGAATAATCTATTTATTTCAGTTCCAAGTCAGAAAATTCGATTTTTCCAAGTTTCAAGTCGGAATAATCTATTTTTTTCTAGTTCTAAGACGGAATTATCTATTTTTTCGAGTTGTAAATGAGAACAATCGATTTTTCCGCGTTCTAAATTTAAATAATCTATTTTTCTTAGTTCTAAGTAAAAAAAATCGATTTTTCTGAAGTTCTAAGTCAGAATAATCAATTTTTCCGAATTGTAAGTCAAAAAAATCGTTGTTTCCGAAGTTCAACGTCGGAATAATCTATTTTTCCAAGTTCTAAATCGAAATAATATATTTTCTAAGTTCTAAGTTGGTATAATCTATTTTTCATATTTTGTTGGATAAATTGACTTTTTTGAAGTTCTAAAGGGGGATAATGTATTTTACCAAATTTAACTACTATTTTTTCGATTTGTAAGTCAGAATAATGTAATTTTCCGAGTTATAAGTAAAAAAAAATCGATTTTTCTAAGTTCTAAGTTGGATTAATCTATGTTTCCTAGTTCTAAGTCGGAATTATCTATTTTTCCGCGTTCTAAATCAAAATAATCTATTTTCCGAGTTCTAAGTCGGAATAATCTATTTTTCTTAGTTCTAAGTCGAAAAAAATCGATTTTTCCGAAGTTCTTAGTCAGAATAATCTATTCTTCCGAGTTGTAAGGTAGAAAAATCGATATTTCCAAGTTGAAAGTCGGAATAATCTACTCTTTCGAGTTCTAAGTCAGAAAAATCGATTTTCTTTCAAATTCTAAGTCGGAATAATCTTGTTTTCCCGAGTTCTAAGTCTAAATAATCAATTTTTTCGAATTTAAATCGGAAAAATCCATTCTGTTCGGGTTATAAATAAGGAAAATTGATTCTTTCAAATTCTAAGTTGGAATAATCTATTTTTTCGAGTTCTTCGTCACAAAAAAAATATTTCGAATTCTAAGTCGGAATTCTATATTTTTATTAGTTTTAAGTCGAAAAAAATCGATTTTTCCGAAATTCTTAGTCAGAATAATCCATTTTTTCGAGTTCTAAGTCAGAAAAATGATTTTTATTAAATTCTAAGTCTAAATAATCTAGTTTTCCCAAATTCTAAGGCTAAATAATCAATTGATTCTTTTGAAGTTCTAAATTAGGATAATTGTATTTATCCAAACTCTACTATTATTTTTTTGAGTAATAAGTCAGAATAATGTAATTTTCCGAGTTATAAGTTGGAAAAATTAATTTTTCTGGGTCTTTCCGAGTTCTAAGTCAGAATAATTTATTTTTCCAAGTTCTAAGCCAGAAAAATTGATTTTTGTAAGTTCTAAGTTGGAGTAATCTATGTTTCCTAGTTCTAAGTCGGAATTATCTATTTTTCCGCGTTCTAAATCAAAATAATCTATTTTTCTTAGTTCTAAGTCAGAAAAATCAATGTTTCCAAGTTGAAAGTCGGAATAATCTATTTTTTCAAGTTCTAAGTCACAAAAACTAGATTCTTTCGAGTTCTAAGTCGGAATTCTCTATTTTTATTAGTTCTAAGTCAGAAAAATCGATTTTTCCGAAGTTCTTAGTCAGAATAATCTATTTTTTCAAGTTCTAAGTCAGAAAAATCATTTTTTTTTTAAATTCTAAGCCGGAATAATCTAGTTTTTGCGAGTTCTAAGTCTAAATAATCAATTTATTTAAATTCAAGTCAAAAAAATCCATTTTGTTCGGGTTGTAAATGAAAAAAATTGGTTCTTTCGAGTTCTAAGTTGGAATAATCAATTTTTTCGAGTACTAAGTCAGAAAAATTGATATTTTTTTTTTAAATTCTAAGTTAAAAAATCTTGTTTTCCCGAGTTCTAAGTCTAAATAATCAATTTTTTTCGAATTCAAGTTGGAAAAATCCATTTTTTTCGGATTCTAAATCAGGAAAATTGATTCTTTCCAGTTCTAAGTCACAAAAAATTGATTATTCGAATTCTAAGTCGGAATTCTCTATTTTTATTAGTTCTAAGTCAGAAAATTCGATTTTTTCAAATTCTAAGTCGGAATAATCTGTTTTTGCCGTATTCTAAGTCTAAATAATCCATTTTTTCAAAATTCAAGTCGGAAAAATCTATTTTGTTTGGATTCTAAATCAGAGAAATTGATTCTTTTGGGTTCTAAGTTGAAATAATTTATTTTTTGTTCTAAGTTAGAACAAATTAATTATTTCGAGTTTTAAGTCGGAATAATCTACGTTTATGAGTTCTTAATCTACGTTTATTAGTTCTAAGTCGAAAAATCCGAAGTTCTTAGTCAGAATAATCTATTTTTAGAGTTGTAAGTCAGAAAAATCAATGTTTCCAAGTTGGAAGTCGGAATAATCTATTTTTTCAAATTCTAAGTGAGAAAAATTTATTTTTCCCACCCAATCCTTCCCAGAACCCCCCCCCCCACTCGGTAGGTAGAGAATATTCAACATGCATCATTAGGATGCGATTGAATCACGGAAGATTCGCCTCCCACCTTTATAAAATAGGAGCACTAACTTTCCCTTATTGCACTTATGATAATACCTACATGGGAGATCTAAATCTTTTAATATTTGCATGTGCAATGTATGAACAAAATAGAAATATACTTCTAAACAACTAAAAAAAACTGGAAGTCTAAATATTACATGTATCCTTTGTTCGGAAAATAAAAACGTTCTAAATCAGTTAGTTGATTATAAAAAAAAAATTCAATATAAACATTTAATGTAATTTTAATTACTAAAGAACAGTACCATATATAGTAAACTACCATAGTTTGAAAAATAACAATAAACATTTAATATTCTGTGCAAACCCAAAAAAAATATATTATTCACAGTTCTAAAGTAAATCAATTTCTCCGAGTTCTAAATAGAAATCATCTATTTTTCGAATTAATCGATTGTTTCAAATAATCTATTATTAATTTTAAAAATCGTCCAGCCCTACTAGTAAATTTAAATATAATTTAAAATATACAGGGTGTTCTTTAATGATTCGCGAATATTTATGGATGTGAATCTACATGAAAAATGAATGATTTGCGATTACCAACCTGATTCATAAAATTATAATTCTGCACGGTGACGGTGGACTTCCAAATGGGCACGTCCGGTTTTTCCACGTGCCTCAGCCTCACCCCCCACTTGTTTTCGTCGTCCGAAACGTTACCGTTCTGAAACGGGACGGTCTCGCCCAAATGGTACGGTATAGGCTTGGCGGGCTTGTTTTTCAAAATGCCCTTGATCTCGTTATCGGTCAACTCCTTTTTGTCGTCTTCGGATAAGTCGGTGTTGAGGGAGTTACCCGAATTGACGGTCACCAACGCGAAGGTCGGCACCCTCGATTGGAGATTCTCGTAAATGGAGTCGGACGTCGCGTCGTCTGAGTTGGTGAACAGCGATTTGTCGTAGCATGTGTCGCCAAAGTGAAGTAACTAAAATGTAAATAATAATATTAAAGGAAATCAATTGGAATTCTCATATGTGACCAGTTTAAAAATAAACAAAGGAAAAGAAAAAAGCTCAAAGTCATGTCAAAAAAACAACGAATAAACAATTTTTCCGAGTTCTGAGTCAGAAAAATCGATTTTTCTTAGTCGGAATAATCTATTTTTCTGGGTTCTAGGTAAATAAATGAATTTTGCAGGGTTCTAAGTCAGAAAAATCGATTTCTCCGAGTTCTAAACTGGAATAATCTATTTTCCCGAGTTGTAAATCAGAAAAATCGATCTTTCTGTGTTCTAAAATGAAATAATCAATTTTTTGAGTTCCAAGTTGGAATAATCTATTTTTTCGAAGTTACAAATCGGAATAAAATTATTTTTTCAAATTTTAAGTCGGAATAATGTAATTTTCCGAGTTCTAAGTCGGAATAAACAAATTTTCCGAGTTTTAAATCAAAAAGTAGATTTTTTTGAGTTCTAAGTGGTAATAATTTATTTTTACGAGTTTTAAGTGGGAATAATCTATTTTTCCAATTTCTAAGTCAGAAAAATTCTCATGTGACCAATTTAAAAATAAACAAAGAAAAAGAAAAAAAAGCTCAGTCATGTTAAAAAAAAAAAACAACGAATAAACAATTTTTCCGAGTTCTAAGTCACAAATATCGATTTTTCTTAGTTGGAATAATCTATTATTTTTGGTTCTAGGTAAAAAAATTGATTTTTCAGGGTTCTAACTTAGAAAAATCGATTTTTCCGAGTTCTAAATTGGAATAACCTATTTTCCCGAGTTGTAAATCAGAAAAATCGATTTTTTCGAGTTCTAAAATGAAATAATCTATTTTCCGAGTTCTAACTTAGAATAATCTATTTTTCCGCAGTTCCAAGTCGGAATAATACTATTTTTTCAAATTTTAAGTCGGAATAATATAATTTTCCGAGTTGTAAGTCGGAAAAATTCATTTTTCTAGAATCCAAGTTGTAATAATCCATTTTTCCGAATTCTAAGTCGTAATTATCTATTTTTCGGAGTTCTAAGTC